GATACTCCTCTTTCCTCTCGTTTACCTTTAGCTACTTCTATCTCTACATTTGTTTCTTCCAACTTAGATCACACTCTTTGGCATCCATGACTGGGTTATCTTGCCCAGTCTACCCTTCTTGTATTACATAAGCATATTCCTTCAATTTCTTGTAATTCTCATCCTTTATTATGTGATACTTGTCATTTTGTTAAGCAAAAACGTCTTAGTTTTCCTATAAGCACTAATATGAGTAATAAAATTTTTGGTCTCATTCATGTTGACATTTTGGGTCCTGTTTCTGTTTCTTCTGTTCAAGGTTATCACTGTCTTCTTACCATAGTTGATGATTATTCCCTTTATACTTGGCTTTTTCTTATGAAAAAAAAAATGAAACTCTTGCTCATTCAAAGAATTTTATTGCTCTTGTCCAACTCAATTTTCTTATTCTATTAAAACAATTTGGTTTGATAATGGTTTGAAATTTTCTATGCTTGATTTTCATGCTTCCCTTGGTATTATTCATCAAACTTCCTATGTTAATACTCCTCAACATAATGGTTTAGTCGAACGTAAACATCAATATCTTTTAAATGTTTCTAGAGCACTTTTGTTTTAGTCTCATCTCCCTCTTACTTATTGGTCTTTTGCTATCATGCATGCTACTTACCTTATAAATCGTCTTCCTTCTCCTATTATTCATAATGTCACTCCTTTTGAACACTTATTCTATCAAACACCATCTTACTCTGAATTAAAATTTTTTAGGTTTCTCTATTTTGCTTCTAACACATCTCCTCATCATTCCAAGTTTCCCCCCTGTGCCTCCAAATGTGTTTTCTTAGGCTTTTCTTCTAATTCTAAAGGTTTCATTCTTCTTGATCTTCAGACTCATAATATTTTTTTTGTCTCAAGATGTCACTTTTTATGAACTTGACTTTCCCTTCACTTCTGTTTCTCCATCACCTCTTTTATCTCCTCTATTATCTTCCATTCCTACTACTCAACCTTCTTTAGGTATTGATGATGAAACCCCTTCTTCATCTCTAGTTTCTCCTTTCCCTTTGCCATTTCTTCCTCTTCTCTACCACCACTTCGTCGATCCACTAGACCTCATACTAAACCTTCATATCTGTAAGATTATCATCATGCTCTTATATATTCTTCTAGCAAAGGTATTCCATGTTACACTTTAACTTCTGTCTTTCTTATTCTCATCTTTCTTCTTCCTATAAGAGTTTTGTTCTTGCTATGTCTTCTACTTTTGACCTAAAAACTTACCATCAAGTTGTTAAACATGATGTTTGGAAAGCTGCCATGGTTGTAGAAATCACTGCTCTTGAACAAAATCAGACTTTAGTCCTCACTCATTTACCACTTGGTAAGAAAACCATTGGCTGTAAATAAGTTTTTTGAACTAAATTTCTTACTGATGGTTCTTTAGATGAGCATAAGGCTCGTTTGGTAGCTAAAGGCTACACTCAAACTAAAGATGTCGATTACTTTAATACTTTCTTCCCTGTTGCTAAGATGTCTACCCTTCATTTATTACTTGCTTTGGCTGCTGCTTGTAATTGGCATTTACATCAACTTAATTTAAATAATACTTTTCTTTATGGGGATCTTTATGAGGATGTTTATATGGAGCTTCCTCAAGGTTTTTCAACACCTCATCCTAATATGGTCTGTAAATTACAAAAGTCCTTTATGATCTCAAGCAAGCTAGTTGACAATGGTATTTTAAGCTTTCTTTTGCTTTAATTTCCTATAGCTACACTCAATCTCCTTCAAATCATTCTCTGTTCCTTAAATCCACTTCTACTACTTTTACTGCATTATTTGTTTATATGGATGATCTTGTTCTTGCGGGAAATGACCTCACAGAAATCAATAATATCAAGTGTCGACTAGATGAAGCTTTTACTATCAAAGATCTTGGTGAGTTGCATTATTTTCTTGGATTAGAGCTTACTCGTTCCAAAGAAGGTATTTGTTTGTCTCAACGAAAATTTTCTTTAGAGTTGCTTGAAGATACAGGTTATCTTGCCTGTAAGCTTGCCTTTACTCCCATGGATCCTCATTTAAAGCTTTCCAAAAACATGGGCACACCTCTTTCTAATCCCCTTACATATCGAAAGCTTATTGGAAGACTTCAATACCTTACCACTACATGGCTTGATCTCAGTTTTGCTATTCATCACTTAAGTCAATTTGTGTCTGACCTACGTGATGTTCATCTCCAGGCTTCCTATCGGGTACTTTTTTACCTTAAGTCATCTCCAGGTACTAGTGTTTTCTTCTCTACAACCTCTGATTTTTGATTAAAAACTTTTAGTGAATCTGACTGGGCTAATTGCAAGGATAGTTGAAGATCTGTTACTAGTTGTTTCTTGGCTCTTCACTCATTTCATGGAAAGCAAAGAAATAACCTATTGTTTCTCACTCTTCTTTAGAGGCTGAGTATTGAGAACTTGCTTCCACAACCTGTGAATTACAATGGTGATTATCTCTCCTTGATAATCTTTTGTGTGATCATTCCTTTCCTGCTCCTCTTTACTGTGATAACCAATTTGCTCTTCAAATAGCTGTCAATCCAACCTTTCATGAGCGCACCAAGCACATTGAACTTGATTGCCATTTGGTTCAAGAGAAACTTCAAGCCAACATCATTCATCTCATGCCTGTTCGTTATGTAGATCAGCTTGCCGATGTCTTCACCAAGGCCTTACATCCTAAGCCTTTTCATGACTTCATTTCCAAGCTTGGCATGATTAATATTCATGCTCCAACTTGCGGGGGGTGTTAGTCTCAAAATAATTTCTGTTTAATTGTTAATTAGTTGTAACTAATTTTGTTGGACTTTACACAGTATATTTATCATGTATGTATTACTTTGTTTTACTATCAATGAAAAATACATTTTTCATCTAGCATTTCCATTTTCGTTTGGTAACAATTTAAGAGTGGATAATCATTTTCCAACCGCAAATTATACTCAAGTATTTCTTTCCCCCTATTTTCATCTAAATTGAATAATTCAGATTTTTAAAAAAATCATATTTTTATCTTAAAATGAGTGGTCTTATTAATACAAGATCATGCCTGTCAAGTTCTTCGGGGTTGAACAATACGATTCTCCTTCCAAATGCATTAACAACCATTGGATGTGACAAATAGCTAACCTAAAAGGTGCAAAGTGAAAACAAAACTTGTTATTCTCGACCAAAAAAGCAAAAAAGAAAAAACTCAATTTCTTAATGTCTACGCGCGGTGTAGTGTTCGCGATCATATCAATTAATAATTGACGGAGCATATATGGTATTGAACATATATAGTACATCTATTAAAGTAGACAAATATTACATATTTCATGTTCATAATCAAAGAAGTTTTTAAAAGGGTTAAATTTTTTTTATTTCTTAATTTTACTCAAAGGGTCATTAGGGGCTCAAAATTTATATATGGATTAATTCCACTCCTCAATATTAAAGATTCCTTCTTTCATTATCCTAGCATTAACATTAAACACTTAACGTTCATTAATGATCAGTGAGTCTTACTATTTTTTTATGAAGTGAAATGTTATTTTTGCTCTTAAACTTTTATTTGAAGAGTTAGTAAGCTCCTTAAACTCAAATATTTTATAATATAAAATATTAAAAAATATAATGTGAGGCTCATTAAAGATCAACCAACAGTAAAAAAATGATAAGGTAATAAAAAATTTTAAAATTTATAAATATAATTACCTCACAATTAAATTTAAAGTTCCCAGTTATCGTTAACGTGCCATTGTTGTAATTAACAAGTGTTGTATATGTGCACTAAGCATGAGGTATAATTTCCATTATTATATGTTTCTCATTTAGCATTTGATTTGAGAACGATATTTAATAAATAAAATATGGTCTAAATATCAGATATAGAGTTCAAGCACACATTTGTCCGGTTTTTGTTGTCCAACCACAATTGCGGGCTCCTATTTCTTTTATTCTTTTTTGTTTTTTAATAACAAAAGTTAAAGATGGAAGCACTGATAGATAACAGACCATTCCACTTATCTCAGGATTGAAGAAGCACAAAAGCCCAAAACAATTGGGCTGAAGTTAGCCCATTAAATTTATATATAAGCTCTTTCCTCCGAATAACCGGTCTACTTGAGAGCCGCGGTTTCTCCCACCTCTCCTGTCCACCGAATTTCCTTGCATCCAAGCTTGCTTCACATGACCAATCCTGCTCAAACCGATCTTCACTACTTCTCGTAATCTCATTGCAAAAGTACTCATCAGCCCCTGGGCATGGACAGACGGTGGAAGAGCGCAAGAGTGACTCAATTCGTGCTGTGAATTAATTTACGTCTTAGTAGTTAAAGCTTATTGACAAAAATGTTTGTGGTGATGAATTCGAGATGCTCGATCAATTGCTCTAATGGCTATTACAACTCACCAACATCATGTCACGATCTGTAACGGATAAATGACTGAAAATATCTAACTCTTATCTTTCGCGTTTTCTGGAATGCAGCTTGCAAGATCAATTATTGCCAGGACATACAGGGATGACTTCAACAAATGCATTGTTATGACAGTCGCGATATAGTCAGACCATGCAGTGTCTTTAGCCTGGCATTGTCTGCCTCGGAGGTAATGTGGCCCAAAAATATAAGCGGACGAAGGAAGAAAATAAAGTTGATGGATTCTTAAGCCTCTTGCTAGATAGGTGGTTGCTTATCGATAATCTTTTTTTTTTTTTCTTTTGCTTGTTTGCTTAATTAGTAGTGCGTTGGACTATTGATACTCCCAAACATAGTACACTGATGAAGTGATGTGTATGCAACTGTGCATGCCTCTCTCTCTTTTAGTCAGCGAGCAAGACTGAGGAGTATGCTCCGAAGATTTGGTATGACTAATGCGTCTTCAACTTCCCGCCAAAGCGAGTAATATAGCCCTCGCTTGATTGATACCCAAATGCTGTGTTTCTTGTTAAATGCAAGTTACAATATTTCGTAAGGGTCCTTCTATAACAACCGAATAAAATTGAGCTCTACTCGAGATTGATCTAATCTCGTGCGATGCTAAATTTGGAAATAATGACATGCTAAGATACACACACACATATGGCTTGCTGAGTAAGTGGATTTATAATTTCATTTGCATTACAGACACACTGGGGGTTTGGAACTTATTGGCATGAAATAATTATCTTAAATAGATAGTCGACATATTTTATCTACTAAGAAAGAGCACTACTCTTTTTTGTTTTTCTTTGTTCCCTGATATCTTGGATGAGCAGGCTCACGTTCAAGACTGAAGACCCACCTTCTTCTACAGCTCTCTTAGCCATCTGTGCAAGCCTCATAGCCTTTCTTCTTCTTTCTTCACTTTCGTCTGTCTCATCCATCAACCTTTGTATTGCCGTCTGAATATCTTCTTTCTTCACCAGCACCCCTATTTTCTCTTCCTCGCCCCAGCTTACCGGGCTCTCCACCCCAACCCTCACCCCAATTCCCAATATTTGCACAACGAATTTCTCATTTAAAAACTGATCCCCGAATAATGGCCATGTTAGCATTGGCACACCAGCACATATTGCTTCTATAGTCGAGTTCCAACCAGAGTGCGTTATGAACCCTCCAATTGCCGTGTGTGACAATATTAGTACCTGAGGAGCCCAGCCTCGGATCAAAAGGCTCCTCCCTTTGGTCCTTTCCTCAAACCCATCTCCCTTAATCCAATTGTACAGTTCTTCTGAGTGACTTCCTCCCCTAATAATCCAAATGAATGGCCTGTTTGATGCTTCCAAAGCCAAACCAAGCTCTTTTAATTGCAAAGGAGTTAGATTGCACATGCTTCCAAGGCACACATAAATAACGGCCCTTGGTTTCTGCAAATCAAGCCAATCCGAGCATTTGTTCTCGTCAATTGAGGACTTGTTCCCTCTGTGAGCCTTATCCAAGTCATCCTTGTTGCTGAGTGAAACAGGGCCGATACACCATAGTTTATCCTTTCTTGCCTTCTTGTATTCTGTTGCATATGCTGGCTCCAAGTCTTCAAAAGAATTCATGATTGTCCCATAAGTGGCCATTTCAGCTTCAGACATTTTGCCGATAAACTCCTTCCAGCTCTCCTGTGGTCCTGGTAACTGGGCTTTGGTGATCTCAATTTTATCAGGCAAGCCAGGTATAACAAAGTATTCCCATTCTTCCTTGATGTTCTCAAAAACATTATGAATGCCGGTTTTGAGCATACATAGAAGACAGAAGCAACTTACTCCGTAAAAAGAAATCCTAGGAATATTATATTTGCTGGCGATGTTGGCTGTATATGGCAAACCCACATCAGAGATTATGCAGTTTGGTTGAGGTGTTAACTCCTGGAACACTTTTTCCGCAGGTTTCTGCAGGATGCTTAGCGACTCGTAGAAGCTCAAGCCCATGCCCAGTGAAGGTAGCATGTCAAAATTCTCACACCCATCTGGCATTCCAGCCTCTTCATATGGAAATTGAAGCTGCATTAATCGGATTGAAAGCCCAGCCGCCGAAAACCGAGCAAAAATTGTTGCGAAACGAGCTGCATTATGTGGCGTTGTGACCACAGTGACAATCACGTTATGGTGAGCCAAAATTCTGGCTACGTCAATCATGGGGTTCATGTGGCCAGGGGACATCAAGGGAAACAAGACGAAGTGAAGTTCAGATGCTGGGGAAGCCATTCCTTTCTTGTTAAGAGGCGGGATATGTGATATGCTTTATTGAATTCCTTTCAACTTGTTTATCTGCAAGAGGCTTTCTGGCTTGCTTCAAGTCCCTTTTCCGCCTAGATAAGCAAGTTGATCAAAGTCTAGCTCGTGGACGACTTTAGGACGATGAAGGCGCCAAAGTTGACCGGTTGACCCAAAGCTTGGAATCAAAAATTTATTTTGTATTCACTCTTCTTGAATTTCATTCAGTTAATGCAGATGCATTTTCTATTTCTAGAACATCTATGAAATTTCCTCAAATAAAGATTAGTACTAATTTTTTTACTTTAAAATTAATTAATTTATTTTAGAAAAACTATAAAATATATTTTTTATACTTAAATGATATATAGAACTTAAATATATGATATTTTAACATAAAATGACCTAAAACTTAAAATTAGTTAATATTTATTATATTTTATACATTTTTAAAAAATAAAAGTTGTTTATTTGGGTTTTCAGGCCAAGCCCCAACCCGATTGAGTTTGGTCCAAATTTTTTTGAATATGTTCGGGCTGAACATAAAAATACTATCTTTTTCAAATTTAACTTTAAATTTTTTTAGGCAAATTCAAGCTTGGCTTGAATTATCTTTTCTAAAGTTAGCACCTCTGATGATATCTCTAAGGAAGTGCCGCATGGTTACATCTTCTATGAGAAGTAAGTGATCTCTAATATAATCTATGTCCTTGTGAAGATGATGATCAGTGACATTATTTCGCTTTAACAGGGTTATGGCATCAGTAGAATCAGAGCAAATCCACAATTTAGTAAGATTGAGCTGCTAGCAAACTTCAAATCCAGTTCTAATGGCTAAAATTTCAGCATCAGTTACTCAACATGTACCCAGATTCTTGTGAAAACCCATAAGCCAGTTCCCGTTGCTGTCCGCATGACTCCCCTACAGGCTACTTGCTGGTTCCATACTGAACCATCTAAGTCTGCGCGAACGCAGCTGGGATTTTTGGTCACTACTTACCCGTTGGCGAGAAGCGTAGATGGCTAAGCTTTCAGTAATCTTGATTTGCTGCGTGTACTTTGCATGTAAACAGAATTTACAAGTGTTTATCTTAATAAGTATAGTTCTGTCCTTTTTTTTTTCTTTAGCTCTAGAAGTGTTTATCTTGATAAACTTAATTGAGCACAAACAAGTTTTTCCGCCAATCTCCTCATCCAGAATTAGTGAAATATGCAAAGTAGTGGACTAATTTGGTCAAGAGCAATTTGTGCTTCGAAAAACAGGAGACCATGATAGATAACCAGCTTCTTCACAACCATCAATCAATATCAAAACATGTACAAAAGCTATAAAAACCGTTTTAAAGTCGTGAACATATCTTCCTTCTTAAATTATGCTTGATGTCAAAATTGTCAATTACAAATTTAGAAGGCGTTTGGATAACATAAAATTTTTTGAAAGAATTACTCTAAGATCACAAACAACACACTTAAGAGACCATTAAATCCATGGACAGCTTCGCATAAAAAAGAAAAATAGCAAGCCAAGTTATTAAGGATCTCTTGATATTTAATTGTAAGGGATTTGTGTATAAGTTTTTTATTTAATAATTTTTTTAGATAGCTTATTCACAGAAAGCTTGTTCAGGTGGAATTTGAGTTTGTTTAATAACTTTGACTTTGATTAAAAAAAGGTATTTTTTTTAAAAGCCCGTTGACAAAAATTAAAAGCTGTTAAAAATTCAGTTTAGTAGATATGAGTTACTTTTATTGTTTTTAAAATTAGTTAGATAAATACATTTATCGAGACACCTTCGGTTGGGCCTAGCTAGTGTCCAATCCAAGCTAGAAGAGTTTTCTCTTGAATCTTGATAACATAGAAACGGGCGTCTGAGAGGGTAGTATGGGTTAATAATGACCCATAAAAAAGAATACATTTTGATTAGCCGATGGACATGTTCTAGAAAATATTAATTTGTTGGTAAAAAAAAAAGTCAATATCAATTATATTGCATTGTATTGTTTTCTTCGTGAGACATGCCCAAGAACAGTTTTTTGGTCGACATGCCCAGGATTTTTAGTCCAAGACATCACTTGCTAGAAGCATGATTACTTACACATTCAATAAAATGTCACTTTATATTGAACACAAGAATGGTGTGTAACTTTATTAACAATTTTGAAAAGGTTTATTAAAAATTTAATATTAATAAACCTTTTCAAAATTGTTAATAAAGTTACACACCATTCTTGTATTCAATATAAAGTGACAGGAAAAAATTAATATTAATTTTTATTTTTTAATTAAAATGTAACTCTATGATTCATAAAAGAATTTGGGGCTTTAGCAAATTTAGCCACTATTGTATGGCTAAATAAAATTAATAACTCACCTTTTTCTAAATTAAGATAATGACCATTTACTAATTTACCTTTGATACAATAGGTAAAACTATCCTTAAACATCATGATATCCTAATTCCTTTTTTTCACACTGGTTTTACTTTCACCCACCTGAAGACATGGTCATGACATTGCACTCTCGGTCACAACGGCGAAGAAACTGACGGTAGACAATGGAACAACTCACACCAATGGATAAACAAAGTTAAAGATTCAATTAGGAGACTACAAGAACACAAGGTGAGAAAGATTGAAAACTACAGATTCAGATTGAAAAATCACAAATGTGAGGTGAGGAAGTCCAAAACTGCAGCTTCTGCACAAAGCCACACTAAAGCTGCAGATCCAGGATAAGGAAATCCGGTCAAACTTTATTATAAAAGTCAGAGTTTAAGTGAGGGTTTCCTGATATTTTATTTGATCTGTTTTGAGAAAATGATTATGTTTTTTTCGTGTTACTAATTTGTGTCACCACATTATATATATACACAATTGTATATCAATTATAAATAAGTTTATGTCTGATTATCTGATTATATTGATCTACAATAGTATATCAGTTATATACTATTATATATCACTAATATGTAAGTCACATCAGTAAAAACTTACCAATTTATTTATCTTTGATATACAGCCATATATCAATGATATAGTATTGCAGATCAATAATGGAGTTTCTTTTTTAATATCTAATGTCTTCATAATATCTGGGAAAAACAGAGAGGGAGAGAGAGGAAAAGCTCTGTGATGAAGATAATAATCTAAGAAAATTACATCAAAAATTTTGATGAAGAGAAGCACCGTACAAGACATGAATATAATGATCCAAGAAAATTATATCTAAAAATTCGATGAAGAAAATATTCAAAGATGATAAATCAGAGAGGAAGCATACATAATATAATTTTTTATGATAAAAATGAAAGATTTAATCTACTAAAGATTAGTTAAATTAAATATATATTTTTAATAATAAATTTATTTTAAGGATAAAAAAGAAAAATACATCTAATTGATTTTATGAATGAATTATATTTTAAAATATTTAAAAACCTCATCCATAATTTATGAAAGTTATATTTTTTAAGGTCATTGAGCTAATTTTCTCAAAGAATTTTACATCATTATTAAAAATAAAATTTAAAAAAATTTTATGACGAAACTTAGTGACATACATGATTTTTTTTTTTTTTGTTGGTTGTTGGTAAATGTATCGAGTGTGAACGTGCCAATTAGTATCCTGATAAGTGATAACTGAACAATGGTCATCTCAATTCGGTCAGGCTTGCCTGGCAACCCAAACTTCGAAGTTTGTTTTGTATGATTCTGACGACACGTTGGACCAAACTTCATGAAGGCGACCATTGTGCATACACCTGAGACAGAACATGCAGTTTCGTTCCCGGAAAAGAATTTCTGGGATGTTAAATTTGTCTGCGATGTAGGATATGTAAGGCAAACACATATCAGAGATTAATATAAATATTATTGAATAACAATATATGAAATCCTTTTCTAAAATTGGACCATAGCAAAGAGCCCCTTGCTTCTGGAAAGTAATGCCCTGACCCCCGATATTATACCAGATGACATTGAAGTTTCTTTTCCCTCCTTTAAATTATGTAATATTAATTATATTTGTAAATAATTAAATTTCACGTATTATCATTCAATAACATGAAGACATTTTTTATTACTAAATTTTTTATTTCACTACAGAGCTATAGCATCAATCTACACAAGTTTCGATGGTAAACATGATATTCTAATGTTGGTTAAGAGAGAAATTAAAAAAAATCTACATTCTGCTAAACTTCTATCGAGATAATTTAGAAGTTGACAATCTCTAAAATATCTGTATTCTGTATAAGTACACATTTTACGTGAATTATCAATATCACTATTTAATACAATCAATGTCAATACATAATAAAATTAAAGACGACTTTGCTGTTCAGCCACTTTTATAACATTGAGAAGCACCTGTTAAAAAATAAAGATCAGATTCATTCATTTTTAATAAATATTAATTTGTTTATTCCATGGCAATTAATTATTTTCAAGTTTAACCCTTCCCAAACGGGAAGCTGAATTGTAATACTTCAAGAAAGCACCAATATCTATATACATCCCTTCAGCACGTCAAGCCTGTTATACATCATTAATGTACAATGAAAATAAAAATAAAGTGGGAGAAAAATGGCATTTACAACAAAAGACGGAAAATAATTAAAACAAAAATGATCTGAGTAACTGATGTACGTACACACCACACCAAACACATTAGCCAACGGTGCCCAGAGGATGCTGCAAATAAGCAGAATCAATCTCTTCCATAAAAAAACACTCTAGTTCAAGGCCCATCATGATTCTTGACAATTCATCCATCTCCTTTTAACTGCTGGTAGACTCTGGATCATGTCTCCTCCGTGCCGAGTCCACTCGATCTAGCCGAGTCAAGGACAATGAACAAGAATTAGAGGATTTTAGTAACAAGCCCAGAGCAGCAGAACACGTTGCTCTGACAACTTCAGCCGGCGATCGACTCATTTTGCCCACCAGCATCCCAAATACCTGAAGGAAAATACATCATGTAAAATTTCATCTATTGCTGTGATGCTCCAAAATCGCAACAAAACTACTCCCACCCTCTCCTATTATAAGGTGGACTTTTTCGATGATCTACACTTCAATTTAGAAGGAATTTTGCGGAATGTTAAGAGTAATTAATGTTATTATGACAAAAATGCCCCTGAGAAGAAAGTAATGAAAGGTCACAATGAGAGTCCATTGCATTAATTCGAGGGACGGAGTGATAGATACCTGTGTATGGTAGAGAGTTAAGACATGAGGGTCGTCTGATAGAGAGAGTATGCTGCTGGAGAAGTATACAGCATTTGCCTGAATTATTGGCCATGGGGCATCAAAAGCCTGCCTCATCAAGCAAGTAAACCGTTAAATTTTGCAAAGTCCTAGATCTGAGTAATATACTTGATCTTTGGGCTCATAAAGCAGGCTAAGTCTGAAACCAGAAAAAATTATAGAGCATCCCCTGATAAAAGTATAAGCATTGCTTAGACCTAATAAACAAAACAAGATTAATTCACTGTCACAAAGAAAGGGCGTGTGCTGGTTCATTTATTTTTATTACCTAGCTATGATCTAAGGCAGAATAAGTTGAATGATTTTTTTTTTTTTTTTAAATAACATAGTAAATATAAGAACCTGAACTGTTGATGCCATATATGTGTCAACTCTGGAGGGAAGATAATGGATAAAATGTTTGGCAATGTCTCTGAGGAAGTCCTCATAGTTACTTCTGAAAACATAAAAAGGCAGCCAGGCGTCATATTCTTCCTTATGAAGAAATATTCCTTGAATTATTTAAAATTAAGTTGAGAACTGTTTAAACCATACCGGTGATCAGAAAGGAAACTGTGCGTGTTCACCGGTGCAAGCAACCCTTCACCATCCATCATTGAGCAAACCCGCTTCAGGGTTATCTGTCAATTAATATATTTGAAAACAAAAATTTCATAACAAATGTTTCTCCAAAACTCCAATTAATGAAAATTCAAGAATATAAAAGCTGATTACCCGACAGGCCTGCCTCACACTAACATCCTCGTCATGCAGATGCAAAACAACATGAGGAACCGCAGCATGTACCTTTAAAATAATCATCAACTTAAAACTACTGATAAATTTGTTATAAGATGAGTAAAATAAAATAGATTTGTAATTTTTGCAGATCTGGCAATTTAACGTGTATACCAACAAAATTTCTCTTAAACGTTTGATTTTTCATCACATATTTATAAACAAGAACAGGTACAGAGCAAGCATCTTTAAACAGATCATACGAAGAAACCATGATAGTACTATTCTTTTCCTTCAGTTTTGATTTCTCCTGAATTTCAACATTGCCAAACGTTGTGCTTTAGCGGGTGAATTTAACTCAGAAACAATGAGCTTCTTTCATATTAACTTAAGCTTATGTTTAACCCTCTATTGCTTACTGCTAGACTAGCAATACACAGAATTCAAGGAAAGAGTCATGCTACTTATGACCTGTAAATAATACAATTTGACATGAATTTTATAGTTAAAAATTTTACAATATATATTGATTGTTCCCAACGTATCTGCATAACAAAATCTTTAAATGGGTAGTTTACGCTGAAGACACAGAAAAATCCAATATAAACAAGTCAAGCTCGCTGCCATATAAAATTGTCTACCCCCATGAAGCACATAGAACAGTTGGATTCTGTGAATGAGATTGAGATCTTTGACGAAGGTAATGAGAAATGTCAGAAAGTTCAAACTTTGGCAGTGATGCAGAGGAAAATGCTATGATAAACAGCCTAGAAGCAACAAATCTTATTTTGTGCTTTTCTTCATCCTCTTGCTTCATAACATGGAAAATCATTCGATTTAATACAAGTAAACGGGGCCAGTTGAGTTTGAAAATGATTTTTGGGCCTTTCAGCACAGGCAACAAAGTGATCAAATTTCTGGGTCAACCATCATGTTGGCAGCCCCAAACCATTCAAACGAGAAAACATTACATTCAATGTTTTTGTAACAACATTATTTTTATCAATATCACTTTCGTTTTTTCCCTGCCCTGTTGCCGGTCAATAGTACTTAAGGAAGTGTTTTTAATTGTAGCAGACAACATGAGTGAAAGAGCATTAATCAAGAAAAGATTATCAAACACTATATGTCCATCCTACAAATGTACAAGTATGACAACTATAAACTGCATAAAATAATTCGGATAATGTTTCACTTGTAGAATTTATACATTCATAGTAACATGCCTGCTCAAGAAACGCCTCCCTTTGTGCTCCCATTCCATAACTGCTAAGCACTCCAAACGCTGCAAAAGAACTAGCTCGCATCTTTGCATTCATGCTTGCCTATTTTTAGGAATTTATTATTAAACACAGTTTATGCTAAATTGGTAAGTATATCACAAATGGCATTAAGAGATTCAATATCAGCTTTGACTTCAATAAGACAAATAAAAACAAATGATGTATTTCTGCCCATAATATGGTGACCACATGGCTTCTTGGCCAGAACAAGAATAACAATCAAAACTCGAATGGCCGACTATCTACTTGAATAATACATAAATTTCCTATAGACTATGTTGACCATTGTCAGAAAGGCCATTCAAAAAACAAAACATAGGAAAAAACTTTACAAACAGAAACCTAGCTAACATTCTGAAAAGAAAAATAGAAATGCATAAGCTTACCTTACAATCGTACAACTCATATTTACATAAGATTACAATATCCTATAAAGATTATGATATTTTCATACGTCCCAATTGCTTGACATCTTTCTAGCAGTACAATATTGACTACCAAGGGCTTCCAGGAAGCTAACATCCATCTTCTAAATGACGAGCAGAGGCATGCATTATTATGCAACATTTTAACTAACATGAGACATCTTTTTTTTTTTATACAGTTTTATACTATTACAAATCTTTTGAAAATATCCCACAAACACTATCTTAATACACTATTGAATATTAATCAAAGAAAGAAAGAAAGAAAATAAATGTTCAATAGCATGTCACTAAATCCTACACTTAAATCCTTTACGTAAGACATCCTGTGGCATATTTTCCACTAATGGACACCACCAGATAAAACCATGAGAGTAAAAAGGGGAAATTTAGAAATATAGAAATCTAGTCATCTTCATGCTACAGCCGAAATGATCTAGTGCAAAATTTTCAGCTACACGTTCACAGGAGCTGAATATCAGATACATCACTGTACTGATCAAAGCAACAAATAAAAACTCATTTTACAATGACAAACCTGAAGATTTCGAAGCCGCACTGCAAGATTAAGCAAAATGGGCTCAACTGCATCATTAGGTGAAGACTCAAGGATCTACACAGGCCAAAAGCAATAAGTAAATAACTGAATTCTACAGTAAACAAGAAAACCACGCACAGGATAAAGAAGCTTAACCATCAGCAAGCATGATACAGCAGTTAATTGCACAGATTCATCTGAATCATCCAGCAGAGCTAATATGACCCCTAAAACTTGAGTTGCATACTCCAGAATATTAATCGACGGAATCTGCAATTTGATGTTAGAAGAAACCATACTTAAAAGAGATCCCAAAGAGAATCTACAGAAATGATGGTCAAATGGCAGATTATGTATTTAGAAGAAAAACATGACACCTTTATTAGCCCTCTCAAACATAAACGTCGAACAGTTGAAGATTCATCAAATACATGCTGACACAAAACCTCAATCATGTGCCCCAGGAATGATTTAACTCCGCTGCTGTATCAATGGTGAGATGAACCAATAAGAATTTCAAGAGGATACAACTGATTATTTATACAACAAAACAGAATGAGAAAATATCTAATAATTAATTATAAATGCAAGCTCACGTATAACTTCAAAGCTATCTCAAACAAGATAACAAGGAACCCCAAAAAAAAAAAATCTCTAAAAGAAAATTAAGAAGCCAATAGCATCTGTAAATGATCGAAAAATTAGAAGAAGAGGAAGAAGAAGAAGAAGAAGAAGAAGAAGAAGAAGAAGAAGAAGGATAATTATACATTTACTTGCCTTTCGCACTAAATGTATTTCTATACTTAAGATATAACAACACATATGATTACAGATACACCAAAAATTAACCTCAAGCAGATAGATGAGATCTGTCACTTCTAACTGGAATTTAATATGATGGCAATGACAGCCTCAAATTTCTTAACGACTGCTTTCCTAGGACGATGTTGAGAACTCAGGCAAAGATGTTAACAGCATCATTTTGGTGAAGGTTCAGAACAGGAGTGCAGAATGGGATTGCAAGTAAACTAGCAAAGTATCCAGGTGCTTGCCAAACTGAATAACTTCTTTTTTCAATAAATACTTTTAACCATGCAAGACTCATTTCTTTAACTAAATATACACATGATTCGTGGTTAAATCTGGCCCCAGGTGGGATTCAAACATGAACGTTCAGTAATGAAGACGACTCAAGTAACACATTATAGGCATCCCTAACCCATCATGTGGAAAGAATACTTTCCTTTAATAACACATTCACATCCTATCAATATCAATATTCAATACAAAATTTAAGATCTATAGAAAGTTGTCTTATTCATAAGTCAAATAATTCAACTCATTTGTTAGACTCCGTGAAATACATAAAGGCCCATCTCATTCATAAAAAATCATTGCATCCCCTTGAAAGTTTATATAATTCTAATGATCTAGTTAACAAAAATGCTGTTGCAAACATTAGTTAATAGGAAACAATTTCAAAATAGGGCAGAGACATCAATTTAACAAATCATTTCAATATAAATTAAGGGCACCAAATCAAAGGTATTATTCCATACACACCTGTAGCAAATAAATTCTGACAATGCTGCCGCTGCAGCTTCCCGATGGTATTTATGGAGTCGATCCAATGATTTTGTCAAAAATAGACAAATACTTTGTATCTAACATTTCAACCATACAAGAAAACTTGTCAACACATCTAATTGAGGACAAGAAACAGACTATAAAGGCTACAGAGGATGTTGGTTATTTTGGAAAATGAATGTTGAGAAAAAATAAGGAGGCTATAGAGGTTGTAGTGGAAGAGATTTCTTTTCTTTTTTTTTTTTTATCGAGCCACTTAATCAATTATTTTTACATTCTCATGAAATCTGACTTCGAAGAAAAATCTACTTTATATCAACAATATTCAATAAAGATTAAATATATATTTAAATTTTAAAAAAAATTCAAATCCTAACAACGACTTTGACCATGTATTCCCAATAAATAGCAACAATAAAATCTTGACAGCTTCATGAGTTATCCAACACTCCTCCTTGACTCTGGAGTTGTATATTCCAGGCTTTTGACCCAGGAAACCAAATCCAGCCTTTGGAAGTTCTATTGCTTCATATGCTGTCACCAGTTGCTTATTAAACTTTGGGTGCCAAACTTTTTGGTCATTATAGTTTGATAGTCATCCATAAATTTGGTTCCATATTATTTGCCAAATATCTTCTTTTGATTCATTGGAGTGGCAATTGGATCACATTCTTCTATGTTGAGGACTTTGCATATTTTTCCTTCTCTCTCTGTCCTTGAAGAGAAAAAAATCTTCAGGTTGCTCCGTGAAAATTTCTCCTTTGTATACTGGAACTGACTCCTCTCACCATATCCAAGGCAAAGCTTTTGCCTTACATGTGAACTTTGAACAATTCTTTGCTTTCTTTATCTTTAATCACGAAATTTTGTCTTCAAAGAACACTTTGCATCCTTTTTCTACTAATTAAGAAACACTCAAAAGATTGAAAACTTTAAGAAACATAGAAAACATCATAAATTAGTTTCAAACTTGTGCAGCCTTTGATGGCCAATGTTCCTTTGTCTTTCATGTTAGTAGAAGCACGACTTCAAATGCTTGCTCTAGAGATAGTACTTGCGTCAAGCTCTCTGAAGAGTTCAAGATTTTAAGTCTTTGTACAACCACCATCTATAAGCCAGCTTTCTGTAGAGTTGTTGATAGAAAAGCATGATACCACACAAAACTCTTCTGGCTGATCTACAAAAGCTTTGGCTTCTACTTGGTGCTGTTGAGTCATGCACATCTTTTCCTAATTGACCACACTTGTAACATCCCGCATCCAGCTTCCACAAGCATTTGTTTTGGGGGTGATTGGTTTCTTTGATGAGGAGAAGGAGGAAAGGCTTGAGTGTTGTTGCTTTGGCTTTATTTTTGTTGTTTCTAATTTTCTTGTTCTTGCCACCAGTGTTATATGATTTGGCTCGTACAGACCCTACCTCATAAGTCTCCCCTGTTCTTATGCCAACAACGCATTCAACAATTATACCACTGTAATGCCTGACAAATCATCTGAGCTTTCCAGAAATGAGATCATAACTCAAATCTTTATGGTATTGCGACTAGGTTCTTTTGAACTAATTTAAAATTAGAAACATCAGCATCAAGAAGTCTTGCGTTGACAACGTCAAGAAGCTTGTCAAACTTGAATTTTTTTTTTAATTAATTCATCTCTTGCATCTCAAACTCTCAGACAAAATTCAGCATGAAGAAACAACTGCAAACAAATTTGCCCTTGCTGTTAACTTTCTTTGCTTGGACTAGTGGTCAAACAAAGAATTTTCCTATAAAGATTGGACTACATCAGGGATCATCTCTGAGTCCTTATTTGTTCAACTTGATTTTAAATGTTTTGACGGAACATATTCAAGAGGAAATCCCGAAATGTATGCTCTTCGCGGATGATATAGTTCTTATAGCAGAGACAAGAGAAGAGGTTAATTGCAAACTTGAGTTATGGAGGAGGACATTGGAGTCGAAAGGTTTTCGTCTGAGTAGAAGTAAGAAGGAATATTTATATTGTAAATTTGATAAAGGACTATTCGAAAATAATTTGGAAGTGAAATTGGGAGATCAAATTATACCTCAAGTGGAAAAGTTTAGATATTTGGGAGCCATTATTCAAAATGATGGCGAAATCAGTGGAGATATTTCACATAAAATTCAAGCTGGGTGGTTTAATTGGAGAAAAGCTAAAGGAGTTATTTGTGACCGTAAGGTGCCTAATAAACTTAAAGGAAAGTTTTATCGCACTGCTATCAAACCGGCAACGTTATATAGTAGTGAATGCTGGGCTCTAACGGGACAGCAAGAGCATAAAGTTAGAGTAGCAGAGATGAGAATGTTACGATGGATGTGCGGACATACACGTAAAGATAAAATTCGAAATGAGCACATACGCGAAAAAGTGAGGGTGGCACCTATTGAGGAAAAAATGGTAGAAAATCGGTTGCGATGGTTTGGGCATGTACAAAGAAGACCAAGGGAGGCACCAGTGAGAATAGTGAAGCATATAACTTTGAGTCCGATTAAGAGAGGTAAAGGAAGGCCTAAGAGAACTAGGGGTGAGCATCGGTCGGTTCGGTTCGGTTCGGTTCCAAAATATGCAGAACCGATCGATCGAATAACACTGAAAATGAAAACCGAATCGAATCGAATAAGCCAACCGAACCGAACAAGGACCGAATCGAAATTTGATAATTCGGTTCGGTCGGTTAATTCGGTTTTTTCGGTTTCGTTTTTGACTATTAAAATTGGGCCCATTTTTTAAATATTAAAACAAACAACACTATAAAATTAGGCCTTTTTTTTATTTATTTTTTTAATATAAGCCCATTCTAATTACACCCATATGATATAAAATTCAAATATTATAAAGGCATGGATAATCAAATAAACAACCACAAATAAACACCGATGATCAAATAATGACCCCATAATCCAGTCACAACACCTACTAATGAGAGTGACTGATTGAAATGGGGTTTCAAGTGATGTAATTATTTTTTATTCTTTATTAAAATAAAAAATAAAAATAAAAATAAAAATAATTTATAAATTAAATATAATTTATAAATTAATAAATTATATGTAATTCGGTCGGTTCGGTCTATTCGATTTTAAATTTTACTAACCGAATCGAACCGATCAACCGAAATATTTAAAATAAAAAAATCGAATCGAACCGAAAAATCAAATAGACCGAATCAAATAGACAAAATTCGATTCGGTTCGGTTCGATTTTCGGTTTCGGTTCGGTTTTGCTCACCCCTAAAGAGAACACTCTTGGGAGTTGTTGAACGCGATCTCTTAATTAATAATATTCCTAAAAGCTTGATAAATGATAGAGCACAATGGCGTCTTGCAATCCATGTAGCCGACCCCACCTAGTGGGATAAAGGCTTGTTGTTGTTGTTGTTGTTAACTTTCTTTGCTTCATCTCCAAATGATTTTTTTTCTTAAATTTGTGCAATGGTTTAATTTACTGGCAACAATGAAATGTCACATTCCTTTTCAACAGCTTCCCACAGATCATTAGCATCAAGATATACTTCCATTCTAACAGCCCACACTTGATATTTTGTCCCATCAAACACCCTAGATGCTTCATTCCACAGGTTGTTGGCTTTTCTATTTGTGCAGGGGGAAGTTATAGAGTTCTGGATCTAGGTTTTCTCTATTCACTCAATCTCACAGGTAACTCAAGAAACATGATCCAATAAAAATGTTAGCCATTTCCAAAATACAGCGTTGAGAAAGAAAATAAAGAATGAGACTACAGAGTTTTTCTTGGAAGCGAGTTTTTAAAAAAAAAAATTAAGCTATTTAAACAATTATTTATAAATTCTTGTTAAAGCTAACTTGCAAAAAATTCTACTCAACATCAGATAAAGATTAAATAAAATATTTAAATCTTAACAAATAAAATATTCAAATCCTAAAGACAGTCTTGATAATTTATTCCTTAAAAATAGAAAAAGTATAATCGTGACAGCTTCATGAGTCACAGTATCCAACAATTCTATTACCTATTTTCACGTTAGGATTGCCTGTGTAGTAAGTAGTGTCCTCTGTGAATTAGGGTTACTTGAGTCACCTATATGATATATATATATATATATATATAAATGGGAATACAGGCCAACCCATGGGTTGCGGGTTGGCCTATCATGGGCTGCTAAATCAGCTTGCCTTTTGGCCCAATCTGCTATAGGTGAGCTGGCTATAGGCTATATCAGTTGTGGCCTCTGTGAATTAGGATTGTCTGAATCACCTGTATTAGGCCCACTACCTGCTCTGGAGATTTAAACTTTTATCCCTGGCATTGAATATCAGGTTTATCTTGTTACTTCTCCCAGGTGCCCGTGTCCCTTCTACATCGCCTAGTTAAGTTGTTAAGCAAGATCAAATAGCATACATAATACCTCTTTTGGCCTCTTTATAGATATGCAGCCAGCTATGTCTCCAATGAGATTAACCCAACTCTCATTCTCGGACAGTCCTCCATCTCTAGCCAAGATCTGGATAGATAAATCATTTTACTACAGCTTTGTTCCCAAGACTGTATTTTCCATCCCTAAAGGAGAAAATTTAAAGCATGTCTACCTTGCCCATCTCAAGGTCACCAACACATTCACAGAATGCTTGAAACGCAGTAAGAAGACACCTACAAAAAGAAATTAAACAGGATCAACAGGAGTTGACAAAAGCGATTGCGTAAAGAGTGTTAAAGTATTTTTTTTTTTTCCAAGCATATTGTCTCTGTTAATATATGTAGCTTAGACTTAGTTTAGAGTCGTTGGTGAATCTGTTCTCAGAATATCAAACTCTAGAGTCGTTAATGAATCTGTTCTCAGAATATCAAACTCAACCATAAGACCAAAATATTATCCAGAAAATTAAGGTGGTGAATCAGTAAGGAAATTCCAAATACTTGGACATTTTACAGAGTATTTTTGCTTGTTCATAAGAAAGTTATTTTTAGTTATTTTGAAATTCCAATTAAAACAGATTAATAAGCAAACCATTATGGATGCGAATATTCTAGTAATCATTATATATTAGGAATCAATGACTCAGGCAGCTCTAAGTAGAGACATAGCCATGTGCACTTCAAATAGAACCCTGGACTTTAAAATTTTCAAGGTCACTGCAGTAATGTATTCTGATTCCATGTTCATTCTTCTTAGTTTAGATAGAGTCTTACTGTAATGGTTCCTGCTGACCCGACTTAGCTAGACCATGACAGCTTCCAAGTTGCAGCATTAGCTCAGATATAGCTGAGGCATAGTTTTGTTCGACAACCCTTTTTCCAATCTTTCCCCCACCTCTGCATCAATAGGAGAGGCTTGCCAGACAGATCATCCAAATATAGCTTAGATGCAATAATGCGAAGTTGATAAACGAACCTGAAAAAAGCAGTAAGAGCTAGTATTGCAGCCTGCAGCATGCCATCCTCTGGCTGGCTGTCAACAACATGGCTATCTGCAGCACTGTCCAAATCACCTTTGAAAATAGAAGCCTGGCTAAGTACAGATATCACGTGTTCCAGAAAAGATGTTGACAGCACCATGTGCTGAGAAAATGCCTGGAAGAAATAAAGTCCATAAATCATTTTCACAAACTCAATCACTCAGAATTGTATTCATCACCTGTCACGTGCAAATATGCAATCACATGAGCGCTAAAACATTGTCATTATAGCAATTCACTAACTTATTTTTCATAGGAACAGAGGAGTTGTTACAACCCTAAAGAAGATAATCTAACATAGATAAAACGTAACAAACAGTATATTCAAATCAATCACACATTATACTTGCCTCATACCTCATTAGCTGAAACTAGAAACGTAAGTCAACTTTTAACAACTTCACATCCAACCAACTAATCCCCTTGCAATACCTCCTAATCCTCTAATTTTTAGAAAATATTGTCATCAAGTAATGGCACAAATTCAGGAAAATAAAAATGTACTTGACAGAATTCAGTCTCGTTATCAAGATTCTAGTGATGATTCATCACAAAATCCTGAAAACACAAACTACTAGAACAAAATATGGAATTAGAAGCTCAAGGAACAAAAGAATATTCATCAATTAAACATCTATCCAGGTCCCAAAATTAAAAAATTTCTTGAATGCCAATGAATCAAGAAACCAACAAAGCAGAACAGTAACAGTTACTATAAACAGGAAATCAGAACACCACCAACGAACTCAATTTAATGGCTAGCTTTGGTTTGGACCTCTGTTAACACTTTATACATAATTGCATTCCTTCTAGTGGCTGAGGAAGTTCAAGGGAATCCTTCTTACCCATCATAATAAGGAGTATACAAGAAACATAAATTGGAGATTGAAAACGTGACACAATCTTGAAAAGAGAAAAAGAAACAAAATCTGCACCAACTCACATAGAATGCATCCTGCATGGGCCAACCACCACGGAGCCTAGATATATCCTTTGTCACTATATCCCTTTCAGCAGTAGCCAGAACTTCATCAAAAACAATTTTTGGACTGGTGTTTTCAGCCATGGAAGATATCTTTTTTACCCAGTAAAGGATTGATATAGAACTCTAAGGGGAAGGGGGGAAAGAGAAGGAAAAAAAACAGCTAAAACCATGATATTGATCCCAAAAAGATAGTGGGAAGAAAAGATAGAAAGAAAATACACCTTGAATGTTAATGGGAAGAAAAGATAGAAAGAAAATACACCTTGAATGTTAAAGTGACATGAAATTTAAAAGTGAAACTAAAAAGGATACAGCACCAAGAGTTTCCATACGCAAATGCTTATCAGTTACGTAAGCAATGGCAGAGATCAGTGATTGGGTTGTCCTATACATAACATGTCAACACTCAATATAAGTAAACATCAAAATTTACCAGGTAAACCCCACCCCACCTCCCCACCCCCCTGGCGGGTAAAAGGGCAGTTTCTCCTGTGTATAAACTAGTCAAGAAACCTTGAGATATCAATTTCACTAAGCTCATTCCCCCTCTTTGTAACAAACTCAATAACAGCTTGAATAGCTCCTTCAGCTGACTGCTTGATCTTATCACAAATTGCTACAGAGCAATTATGCAGTGTAACCAACAACTGCCAAAAAATCATCAATGAAAACATCATCTATGCTGGCCAAAAGATCTCAACAAAATCAACAAGAGAGTAGAAAATTAGAATTGCCTCATCCTTGGTCAACAAGATGCAGAGTGAGGACACAATCCTGTTGAAAACTTCTGATGGATCAATGGAAGTATCCTAAACAAATTTAGGAAACGAATAAGATATGTATCTCAGTTTCAGTTTCTCTGTCCTACATCAATTGAAGGAAAGAAAGAAAGAGAAAAATAAAGCATGGTAATAGAGTGATTAATGAACTCACATTCCTTAAAATGGCTATAACATCCTCTAAAGAAGACAAGGCACCATATGACAATTCTATATCTTCAGAAGTTATAGAAGAAGTTGCAGGCCGTGGAAGAGAGAGAGAGATGCTGAAGAGTTGATCAAGAATCTACCCAATGAAAATATCATTCAATAATCAAAGATCAAAATGGGAAAGGATTTTTGGAACTTAGGTGAGACTGTTATTATTTTTTTTTTCAGTCCACGGAAAAAAGGCTCAGTTACTTACTTGAGCAGATATCTTTCGAACTTCTGAATTTGTGTCAAGACAACGTGGAAGATACATTATAACTCTATCTCCCACACACAAAGCTTCACGGCTTGGCAATATAAACGCAGCTGGCAGTGAAAAAGAAATTAACATGCATTGAAAAAGGAGACATTTTGAAGTGTTCTAATAAAGAATCTTTACTTGTAAGCTTTGAGTAGTTTCCATATAGAGTCTGGTCAATTTGCTTGTTATGTGTGCAAATCCCACGGCAGCCAACTGCACAATACCCACCCACACAAACCATCCGAAACTTGAGAAGCATCTCATGGACTGCAAGACAGCCTCTTTTCCTTTGATACTCAATGGGGGAAGAAACAAATTGATCAATTTGCCTTAAAACATGTAGTAGAAGCTCTGCCCGACTTCTTCCATCCTCTCCACTAAATTGTAAGTTATCAATAATTAGCACAAATTTATGTTATCAACAGCTAGCACAAGTTTTTTGGGAAAAAAAAAAAACAAGTACAAGTTAAAGAGAACTTCATATAGTACACAAAGTTTATCCAAAAAAGAAAGAAAGAAAGAAAGAAAGAACTTCATATAAACAAAAGTCAGTGTGATGCTAAAAAACCTAGCACCTTCAAATGGATCTTGAGAAGTCAGTGACACGTGTAAACACGAGAGAGGGGACTGTTTCTTAAGTTACGTTCATAAATCATATTACAGTAAATAAAATGCAACACCAACCCTCATGGCAATTATGAATTGCTTAGAATGAAGAACTGGTAATAAACTAGACCTAAGGAAAGAGTAACAAATGATGTACAGCATGGCAACATTCAGAAGGACGGCTAACTTAAAAAATAAACACTCAAGCAAAACATTGTAAATCATTTTACTTAAATTACCTTCTGAGAAGAATTGCACATAATAGAGTGATCAGGTTCTCTATGAGGGTGTTGGCAACATCTACTGGATCATTTGGCACAGCAAAGAACCCTAACGTGGCCTGTCAAATTCATCTAGAAGTTCAGATTGATGAAGCATTGTCACTGATACATTCCTAAAATTTAATGAGAGCACATACCTTCATTACATGGTTTCTAGTTTCGACTGTTAATTTGGGCTCTACAGAGATTAATGTAGTGCAAGCACTTATAGCTAGGGCCTGCATAACATCAAAATAATAAACCAAAAAAATCAAAATGTGTAACAAAAGCTCACCAAATGTCTTCAAACTGAGGTCCGCAACCCTTATGCATACCTGAGTACGTAAAAGTTCATTATAATCAGCAAAACCATCATTGTCATCTCGACCCATCAACGTTAATATATAATCAAGCAATTGATCCCTTCTTTTCAATGGAAATGGTATGCCACTTTCAGCAGCATTAATAACAGCATTACCTGCAATATCATCAAAATCACAATAATTTCATTCTTTCACGAAATTATCAGGACACACAACTTCATGTTTGTTCTTGAAATGCTTCAGCTGAAGTCAAGTGAGTGGCCATCCACATCTTTCAATCACAGAAAGTGCATTGTCATGCTTATCACGATTTATCCTCTTTTTCTTCAGTGAATGTTCTGGTTTCTTTTAGGAATCAGGAGGACATCAATTCTTCACAATGCGCTCCTCTTCTTTGTCTAATAAAATTTCTTGCCTCCCGAAAACACAATAAAAAATGCCCAAAGATGCAGGGTGGGCGCATGTTTAATCTGCTAATGGAAGAATCGTGCTATTGATAACAATAGATTTCACACAATTCTCTCAAAGAATAAATACATAACATCAGCAATAAAGGGAGAGTTTTGCATAACAGATGCAGTGCGGCATGTTTAATTTACAATTTTACATCACTTGCCTCATTCAGTTTTGGTTTGTAAATGCAATATTCCTGTTAGGACTAACAGCATATTCTGTAATGTAAAGTGCAACAGGGACAAGCTGACAAAAATATCCCAATACCCAGCATGTAGCAAGAAAAACCATAGGGACTACCGTACTAAAAGTAAAAACAGAAAACAGGAGTAACATTGCAAAGTTATAATAATAAATATATCTGACCTAATAAATCAATTGCTGTAATGACAGCCTGCTTGGATCTGGGGTTTCGCACATGTAGAAGCCTTGAAAGCATGTTGGTCCCCTGCAGTATAATTAAATAGAATAAACAATCCCCAAAAATTTAAATGCAACAAAATCAGTTTTACCTTATTTTAAACTCATTTCCTTAAATAGATATCAACCTTAAGCGAGATATTTATGTCTTTCAAGAAATATAATCATCCATTTAAATATCCTAGAAGAAAAGGTAGACGCTTTTCAAGCAAACACATGGAATTATTACATTAATTGATAATTAATAACCAATTACACCATTCCAGAATTGTTCTCGTTCTTAATTCACTAATCAGCAAGCAAGTCTTCCTATCAATTAAGTGAGAGGATTTCATGCAGATACAGCAGCTGCTCTAGTATTTCCCTTTCGAAGAAGTATACTCTGCTCAACAGTTTGATGCATAACTGCAACATGAATTAGATTCTACGTATACATCCCTTATATTGCACCAAATTAAAAGGCAAGCACCTACCATAATTCACATCAATAGGGAACTGCATGCAGGTCTCTAGTCAAAAAATTCAAAATTAAACAGATATGACAGATTAAAAGCCAAGGATACCATCGCTATAACCAACTAAAATGCATTTACAAAATACTAGAGTGCATAGAATATGTATGTTGTGCAAACTTCAAAGTATGTGAACATATAACGCATAATTTTAGAAAATTCAAGACACGTGATAAGGACAAACATATATATATATATATATATATAACCAGCCTCACCTAAAAAAACATAAAATAATAATCATCCACAAATAACGAAATCAAACACTTCTTTTTCTTCAACATGAAATCAAGCACTTAACATGAAACGGATCAACTTTCAAACATCATCACGATGATCACCGTTTTGCATTCCTTCAACATCCTCTCACTTTTGAGATTTCTATTAGCTAAACAACCATATCAAGATCACAAGAGGAGGATGCCAGTGCCCTCTTCCCATGCTCTTGATATGGTAAAATGAATAATAAACTATTTAACATTGATTGTCCAAGGATAAAGGCTTGTTGTTGTTGTTGTTGTTGTCCAAGGATGGGACAAGTGAATTGCTGGTTGTAGCCTTTGCAAAATCACTTAAATTGGGGTCACCAGTGCCCCGTTTCTATACTGTGATGGTAGCACATTGCACAGGCTAAAGCTACAAGAAAATAGCTCTCACAGCGCAGCTAAAGTGGGGATATATGAAAGTTGCATAATGTGGCGTAGTGCCAAGAGCCGTAGCATTGAGCAATACGCTATACTGCATTGTGAAGCAGGAACCATTTTGGTAGAGCTGGGGGAAGGGGAAGGATAAAATGGCAAGCTTACTAGAGTAAAATGACATCTTATTTAACAAATTAAAATGGTAATCTCTCTTTCACCTTTCTTCAAAAAAATAAAAAATAAAAATAACAATCAAATGATAATCTCTCTCCAAAATCAAGACAACCAAAGAAAGATAATTATAAAAAGAATAAGCCATAAGCAGAGAGAATGAGAAGACCTACAATAAGGGCATTTATTCTGGCTTCAATAACGGTTGATGGGGCATACTTTGCAGCATATCCATACATTAGAGCCAAAGCTGCATGTATGTCATCAGTTTCTTCCGCCCTAAAACTATCAGAGAAGAATGACAGTATCCTGTACAGATGAAACACAAACACAAAAATGCTGAAAAGAGTAGAACCGGAAACATTAGAAAAACAATAGCTGATGAATACATTGTTATCATGTTCTGAAGCATTTAAAATTTGATCGTTCTATTCCGAAACAAAATGTCTCATTCTGGCAACCTTCCCCATTTGTCAACAATACAGCTTCATCTACTTAGAGACAGACTTGTTTTCAAAAAGCTAGCACATCAGATAGGGAAGCGCCTTTTTTTGCACAAAATTAAATTGTAGAAACAGCAACCTTTTCTGCTCTCAATAGAAAATGCATTGAACTTAGACTGCTCAAAATAATGTATAAATTATACATGCTAATAATAGGTAAAACATTATGAAAAGAAAAGTGTATACTCTTAATCCTAAAAGTCTGGCAAAAACCTATTAAGCATGCTCTGTCCAACATTATCCAGAATATCCTTCAGCTTCCCCAACACTGTATCCAAGTGAGAAGCAGCAACCTTATAATCACAGAAGGAAAAAAAAAAAGAAAAAAAGGAAGCCAAATTAATAAGCAACCAGAAATGGAAAGACCATCAAACAAAAGAAAACTAGAGAGTACCAATCCCATTGCTTTAGCTAACCCAAGCCTATTGGTTGGAATAGAAATGTCGGCCTGTATATACATCCAATCTATCTTATCACGAACATAAGGTCTGTCATTAACCTTTTGAAGAAGCATTCCCAAGCATCTGCATTCAAGACCGATGTCATTTTGCACCTCCTTTCCAAACTTAATAAAATTGGAAGTGAATGCCATATTGATAACTATGGGGTAAGACAATATGGCTGTGTTACAGCTCTTTCAGTCTTCATTCTCAAAAGAATTCAAGTTTACATTCTCACTGTCTTTTCTTTTTTGGTTGAGAGCCGTCATGATCTTATTTTTAAACGTATCTGGATAAGAGCATGTTTATGTTATTAAAATAAGAGTTATAAAGTAAGTGTTAAAATAATAAGTGGATGTTCATTATTCAGTTTTGGCATCAATGCCAGCCCAGAAAAGAACACACACACACACACAAAGTTTTCCAGATCAAGGATGAATAAGGCACAAACCCTCCATATCTTCTGCTCAAACATAATTCTACCCACAAGAATAGGGACGGCAAATATCAAACTCTCGACTGCTTCATCATGGAGGCTCAAATTCTATGTCATAAACCATTTCATCCAACGCTTAATCTCTTAGGTGAAAATTCATGGTTGGTCTTAACCATATATCTAACTGGCTAGAGAAAATAAGCTGTAATGAAGGCAGCAATTATTGAGTCCTAAATTTAGGGCAACTTTGGTTTTCTCTTAGAATTCAGAAGCAAGAACTATGGAGGTGTAAGCCACCTTCAGATTGCAAATGCACATCCTCTCTTACCTGTTTAGTAGAAATTCTAATAAGCAAAGCTTGACGGCAAAGTGAGAAGATTTTCAAGATAAAATGTGTCAATTAAAATCATAGCAAAAGCCCATAAGAAGCAGTTATCAGTATCAAAATCTGAGGATGAAAAGGAGAAACATTTAACTTATGTTCGTATTGAAGGGAATCAAGGAAAGGGGGAGGAAGATAAATTTTACTTGAGACATTTTCCTTGATTTAGAAGTAAATCTAACATTTTCCCCTCAAGAATATTTGGATCGAAGAAGGGGGGGGGGGAATGTGCATTTAAATATTCATAAAAACTCATGGCTTTGGATCATTTATACAAGAATAAGTTGTCGATTCTCCTCTAGAAAGGAAATCTAGCAGGCAAAATTACTGACACAGATTTCAGCAGAAGTTGTCAATTCTCCTCTTAAAAGAAAATCGAGCAAGCAAAATGACCATGACAAAGATTGGTGATTACAGCAGCTGAGAGGTTCAACGATGTAGAAGAAAGAGAATGGTTTCTACTATCCAGAGGCAGCCCTAGTGATCCTGATATTTTTCCTGTCTTTCTACTCCACATAGCCTCAATCCCCTCCAACAAACTAGCGCTCATATCAAGCTAGCTCTCCACTCCCTCCTCCACCTCACCTACCCAGCTATCATCATGTAAGAGCTAGTTATCCCTGGAAACCTCATCGCCAGGGACAGTCCATCTTTACTTCTTTCATTATTCCTTCAGTAATAAAAGCCTGAGGCCCATCAAGATTGAGTCTACCAAAGATGAATATAAATTTTATAAATTATTCAAATTAAGATTTCCCCTCTGTTCCATCCCCCTCCATTCTCTACAATCCAGCAAACCCTAAACCAAGTTTATCTTTTCTCATGGCATTGAAGTATTATAATGAATCATGAACTGACATTTAACAGGGCCAGAGCAGATACATATCTTGCAAACACAACTAAAACCCTTTTTCCAATCTATAATCTATATATGGCACAACACATCAGTTAAAAAAGATTGTTCACACAACATAAGGCAATATTTATCATGCCATGCCCTCTTTAAGTCTAAGAATGCACGCTTACGACATGAAGCATCAGTACCTGTGAAGAAGTGCAACATGTTCATCACCAGAAGCATAAAGTTCATAATGTTTGGTAAAAACATTACCAAGAGACATGATCCAATCTGAATCTTGAATCACATCCAAAGATTCTGCAAGAAACTGCAAGAAAAAAACATCAATGATATTAATATTTCCAGTGCCTGCACAATTACTAATTTTAATTCTGGAAATTTTAATGGTCATGTAACCCTGCCAAATTAGTTATGCACAACTCGAATAAACTTTCTTGTCTATCTATATGACAATTTTAATAAGCACAATGAATTTAAAACTACGTTTCAATGTTCAAGAAACATTCTATTTTTCCCCCTTAAAAATGACCTAATTGGAGCAATAACAAACTTAGTCAGCAAAAGAAATCAAGAATTCGCCATTCTTAAAGAAAACATGTCACAAATTGACCAAGAAGCTTGGTTTCACAGAATGCATTCACACCACGTAAAACACATTTAAGAAGGATAACAAGATGGCTAAGAAGTCAATCATACTCACATTGATTATCATGTCATCCCAAGTGTCTTGATATGAGACATCCTGTTTCAAGTCTTCTGTATCACTAACATATGCCTTCATCTTCGGAATCTAGAACTTACCAAATCAACAAATAATTACATTCAATCAATAGCAAACAACTCAAAATTGTAATAGACACGAGTTAGCAGGACATGACATATTATAAGACTAAGAAGCCTATTGTTGATTTATTGGTGAAATTTAGGACAGATGCCGACATATGTACTATGAAATGATAAATCATCCACAATACATGATCAGAGAACTCGACAATAATGTAAATTTATACTAACTCAGTACATATAAAAGCAAAGAACATTTGAGATCTGATAATGCTAAAACCCCAATGACATGTAAATGTGCAATAATCAAGTATGAAACACATCACCATTCTAATGAGTATAATTATAATAGAGATTTAAAATAATGGGCATTTGACTGGTTTCCCTACATTTATCAAAAGGCATTCACAAAGAACTTGGGGTTCCAACTGCTACAATTGAAAGCCAACGAACAACATATTACCTCATCTTGCCACAACATATTGATGTTTTTTGGAAACAAAGGTGCAAGATGATAAAGAACCTGCAAACACAAGATTTTTATCACCAAACACCAAAGGAAATTAATGTATATACAGGAAACTAGTCATCTCAGTGTTGAAAATTTATATACCATAAGTACACAAAAATATGCTGACAATAATGATTCAAACATTTTATTTCTCATACGCCAACTTGCTTAGCCTTAGTCTGACAAAGTGAAACAGAAAAAAGATACAGAATATGTTGAATTTTTATTCTGACCTCCTCATTCATGACTTGAAATTCAAACCTGATCTCATCTATGCCCTAATTAAGCTCGTTTTATGTGAAGACTGAACCCTGCGGTTTATTTTTTTTTAAATGTCAGACCTATTATTTTTAGCTAGCTTTTGTTCATGAATTTATGCAGTCTTTTAATTTTGTCATTCATGCTTTTATAATTCATGGGATCCCACAAGCAGCTTTTTTCCCAGGGATCTCCTATACACATACAGCTAAGAATTAAGAAACCATATTACACTGAGAGAGAGAGAGAGAGAGAGAGAGAGAGAGAGAGAGACCAGAACATCATTTCTCTGAATTTCTCTAAGGTGTCAAAACCTACCAGTGGGGAGGAGAGAGGGTTTGATGACGGAAATAGTACATGATGAGGCTCAAGTCCACTAGTAGGCATAGGGAGAACTTTTTAGCCACCAATGTCAATGATATCTAATAAGGCCTAACTGACCAAATACACTGGTGTGCAGAGTTTAAAAAATCATATACTAATGACTAAAGGTTAGCATGAGAAAAATATAGTTTACATTGGTTGTTAACAGGAAAGGCAATACTTTATGGTTGACGGGAAAGAACCATAAGCAAGACTTGGTGGTTAACATGAAAAAAATCATCCTTGAGTGTTTAATGTGAAAAGACCATAGATTGATAGTAGTCATGAGAATAACCTGAATCCGTACTTAACACCAAAGCAAAGTGAGGAGGATTAATAAGGGGAAAAAATCACGGAGAGTCCATAATAAAGTGTTATAAAAATGGAGACAAAGTCAAACGCCAAATAATTTAAAAAAAAAAAAGATCAATGAGTAAAAAGAACAACAATGTAAACTCCATTCTAAAGAAATACAAATTAATAACATTTCTGTTGCCTGTGATCTCCCATATAAATGTAATTATTTCCCAAAAAAAAAATCAGAAAATCATTTATCAAAATTCCAATAAAATGTAACAGTAAACCAAGGTAAGAAACTTTGCAAAATAGACAAGCAAAACTATAAACATCGGAACTGAAAGAGATAACCATTTAGTTAGTCTTAGCATATATTACCATTAAAAAAAAAAATCATCTATTCCAATCACAACAACATTTGAGTCTTGAGACAGAATAATTAAAAACAATAAAACAAAAAAATCTCAAGGAAGAAATATGCTCACAGTCAAAATGTGGGTAGCCAACTGCTCCCTTGCAAGAGGATTATGTAAAAGCACCACCAGACGAGCAAAAAGATCCTATAATAATCATCGAACATACAACCCACAGATCATTCTCATTGTTGCATACAAGCAAAATTTTTCCTTCATTTTTTGCCCCATTAAGAACAGGATAAAAAATTAAAAAAAAATGATCTGATAGAAATAAGATGTTATAGAAGAAATTTTACCTCAACAGCTGGCATACCAGCATTGTTTTTATACTCGCTCAACATATCAGTGTCATGCGATCTATGCCGCCACAATTCAGAGATACACCTGCAAACCTGTAAACCAATGTCAGAACTCAGAACCCACTTAAAAGTTTACAATCCGGTCAAAAAGAGAACCAGACAAAACTGGGAAATCAATCAGGTTAAGCTTGACTACTTTAGACTTTTTTAGTTGTTAGCACAAAACAGCAACATTTTCTAGTATAAATTATTTTTCTTCCTATACTCTATATATATAAGCATTGTTAGTATTGTAAATAACTATTAACAATTATAGATTTACTTAATGAATACTTGATAATGGATTATTAGTTTACCATTTTGAGTTCAATTTGTGATTATGAATGAATATTAACTCATTTAGACTTGAATTCTAACTCATGAAATCTATTAGTAGCAGTTTCTTTATCTGTATAACATTTTCATATATAAATCTAAAAATATTAATCTTATTACCACCAATTTGGTCATGATTTAACGGCAGTTGAACTAGTGAACCATGGACTTGCGCCTTGACCAATTTAATCACCAATCCAGTTTTAAGAGCACTGGGAAAACTTGGACAAGAATAGAACATTTCCACAGCCAGTGCATGCAAACATCAAAGCTTTTAAAAGAAGCAAGATATAAGGAGGAAGACATCAAACAAGGAAAAGGATGCATTCAAGCAAAAGGATATCAAATCCTGGCAGGCATAGAAAAAAATTAGTCAAGCATCCGAAGATGAACTTGAAGGAGGTGGAAGGAGCCATGTGATAGGGAGGGAAAAAAGGATACCCATGCATACAAGAAGTCAACCATCCAAGAATCAAGATGGAAGTGCTATATTCTATGTTTACAAGCCAACAAGAAGATTTACCATGGCAACAGCACTTGTATAGGTCCGTGGAATAATCATTTTCAGCAGAAAAGGCCAAAGAATGTGCTGTAGAAAAATTAAATACGAATTAAAATGTATTTTCATGTAATTAACAAATAGGAAAATAATAGAATAATCCCCTCAAAAAGAGTTCAATCAAAACCATAAATTGATATAAATATCTAATTTACCTCCATCTCAGGAATTGTAATAGTTATCAGAAGAAGCCCTTTCTCGCAAATTGCTCTCAAGTCCCCTGAAGTCACAACACCAATTTTCATCTGATAAAAAACAACATGCTATTAGGAGTTTATGATGGGGAGCGACCTGGGCAAAACTGTGCAATGTATATTATCATCATTATTACAATTACAATTTCCAATGAAAGAAGTGATTTGATTGAAGAGATAATAAACTTCAACGTCAAGGATGCAACACCTTAGTAGAGGTAAAAGGGGAAAGGAGATTAAAAAAGCAAGAATTTGAAGCACAGAAGCTTTCCCGTGAGATCAACCTAGAAAACTGCTTTTCTATGACACCAACCTAACAAATAACATGGAAACGCCGAATGCAAAACAAAATGCAATGCTTAGAAGAGCACTTCTCTCATTAAATATACATACAATTAAGTATTCTCTAAAAAATCTAGCGCTAAGCTCCAAAAAACCATTATTATAAAAACAAATCACAGGATGAAAACCAATTAAAAAGACAGGGGAATGACAAAAACAAGGATACCTCAACTCTCTTATTTAGCCTGTTGTCAATATCACTCTGATTTTGATCTGTCAGGGCACAATGGCGTACAAGATATTCAACAAACGACTCACCAGATGAACCAACCAAGTAACAGTGTGAAGCCATAACCACAATCAACTACAAACAAATTAAAAGTATCAAGTACAGAAGGAACAAACACAAAAATCACTAGCCAAAAAATGCAAAAAGGGTTAGGATTTGAAACAAACCCACAGGAATATTGGTTCAAAATGACTTACCTCTGAAAGTGCCTTTCGGACACCTAAATTCTGCTCATCTAGCAAGGATTTTACAGCTTCAACTAGCAGAGGCCTTTTATTGTGCCAGACTTCCAATAACCTTCAAAAAGAACACTCTGTCAGCTCAAACTAGAGAATCAAGGTTAAGAAAGATCAGCAATAGAATTGCAAAATAAAAAACCTGGGCAAAAGGTGCTTCAGAACACAAAGTGCACTAAAGGTCAATGGTTCTTCCTTCAGCCTGCATTTCTGGCAAAAGAAGATTATTTAATAGCGAGAGTAGACAACGGAATATCATAATCCTCCTCAGCACAAGACTTCAAAGATTTTTATAGGGGAAAAAAACAATTGAAGATAAGACAAAAGCAATATAGAAAACCGAGGACAAGTCCTCCCAAGACAAAAGAAGCCACAGACTCATCAATCATTATATCAAAAGAGCTTTCCAGTCCCTCCTAAATCATCAATGGTCTCCGCTCTCCAAAAAGACCATTCGCCAAAACCACAAGGTGGGCAAGAAAGCAGTTATCTCCCATTAAAGACGGGATGGAGGAAATTTTGGTTAAACACACACATTTCCACCTCATTGAAGACACCATAAACCACCCGAGACAGCACACTGCCAAAGAACTTAATGGTCATTTTCCCCGCAAAAAAAAAAAAAAAAGAATTTAGAGGCTACAGAAGCCAGCAGATTTTCCAGACACACACATTGCTGCTGACAAACACTAATCTACTCCCAAAACTTCCCAGAAACCAGCTATCTGTGTGCTTTGGACATGGGTTTGGTTACAAATAAATGATTGGTGATTACACCATCTGAAAATCATGGGAAAATTACAGGGTAATAAAATCAGACATACATGCCTAATATTATCAAAAAATAAGGAAAGAAAATTAACAGAGCGATAGCAAAGTCAAACTTCTAATCTTGACCAGTTCAAGCAGGCCCAGTATTGGGCCCTTATATCACCCTCCAACTCTCTTTTCATCAATAAATACCTTTTTCGGTCATAAAAATCCTCCTATCATCAAATCAAAGTAGAATGCAAGAAGTAACACTTCCACTGAAGATAGATCACAAAGATTTGTGGCAACTTACATTTACAAGGAGCACAAATAAATCATCTGGATACACCAGGCCAACGGCCAGAAAGCAATGCTGAACTTCATTATATGTCTGCAATACACACCAAAAGAATCTCATTGACGAGAAGAATTTATTTGAAAAGACAATACTGGTGAAGTCAGCAGATAAACATCATCTTACAACATCACAAAACTATACAATGAAGCAAGAAAGAAAGCCATCCTTAAAGGCTTTCCAGTAACTTTGCCTTTCTGAAAGGCTTTCCCATAAGAAACCATGTTCATTAACCCACAGCAAAGCCTAGAAGACAACTCTCTCAAAACAGAGCCAAGAACAAGCAGTGCTGACCAAAGTTACTAATATGCTCTTGGAAAATAGAGACACCTTGTGCAAATAAATAACATCCCAGCAGAAATTCAACCTACCTACTTTTCACAGAAGCACGCAGAGAAAAAACACTAATAGTAACACAAACTTACTGGACACAAACAGTCTCCTCTTTATTGTAAATGAAATAGAAAGGGGAAGAACAAAAGTCACCACGCAAAGAAGACTATTAAAAACTCCTCCAATTGGAGCTAGAAACCAGCAGAGACAAGGCAGGAAATGGCCTTCAAAAGTCTTTCATATCCTTTCATATTTTTGTTTTCTTTTTTTTTTTTTTTAATTCTTCTCAGCCGTGCTATGTTGAGCACATGTGATCTGAAACGACCTTAATGGTGGTAAGGTTTTTGGTAGCATATAAATTGAGGTGGTGCACCTCTTGTCTGAAGCTATAATCCAGAATCTCCATCCTTATCACAGTCAATATGTAGAATGTGCAATGCGTTGTGTATTGAGCAAAGGACTAATATAACCTAATCCTTTGCTGTGATGAGTTTGTACATATGGATCGTAGGTTGTGTTGTATGAGTTGTACAAATATTCCCCTACGTTAATGAAGTGACTGAATTCCCACCACCATTAATAAAACCTTTCTATGCTCTCTCTGCTGTTAGTTCTTTGGTAGAGGAACCCTATCATGGTCCCAAAAAATTCAAAAGATTTAAAAAATTATATTGGGAATAAAATGAATGTATATAGAATTTAACAAGAGGAACTAAAGATACTATATGAAAATTACTCCAAACAAAATGAAATGTTAAACATACCTTCAGCCCCACTTGTTCTTTGCCATCAGTATTCACACAAATCACCAGAAGAAGTGCTGACAGAATGGGTGCTAGGTCCTGCAAACCCACACCAATGAGTTAATTTTCTGCTCTTCTTAGGGGTATACTTCATCCCCTATCATCTTTTTTCTTCTCTATTAGTACAATAACAAGAAGTTTTATCCTATCGAGTATTTTTCTTCTTTATTGATAAAAATACTAATTCTCTTTTCTCTAAAAATGAATTCTTAATGAACTAATTATTGCAGGATAATATAAAAAGAAATTACTTAAGAAAGGAAGCAGACAAATTACACTAGCTACATTTATGGAGTTCTCACAATATGGTCGCATGAGGGAAGAACTCAACTGAATAAATATTTCAGTTCAAGGGGCATTCTTAAAAAAAATGTTTCAAATCTAGCTTTGCTCTGATAAATCTAGCATTTGCTAAGAGTATTACACCCACTTCCACGTCACATTTCCAACAACATGAAAAGCCTTCTCATATTCCCATGTTTATTTCATGACTGGTATATGAATTAAACTGAAAAAAAAAAAAACATTACTCAATAGATCATTCGACAAGTGTTTCTATACTCATATAATTAGACAAGGTTTTCAAGGACAACCACATCATTCAATAGAACAATAAGAAGCAATTACCTAAATTCACCGCCAGTTTACTCAACAATAAAAAATACACAAGACTAGATAATCATTGAAAGGAAAGTTAAAGAAGGAACTATCTGCATGACTTATGTACCAGCAAAAGAGCAGGTAGCATATTCATAATAAGGGAACACATTTGAAGGTCTCAATTACACATAATTAACGTCCTTGACAAGTAGCACACAAATAATAACAATAACAATTAAAACAGTCAAAGTTGTTATTGGGGGCGATATCATGTGACCATTACCCTGGGGATTATAAGATGATTATGTGCGATTTTTTTTTACTAACAGCCCTGATGCTTTGCTTGACCTTTACCCCTAATCAAATACTCAGTAATGTTTGAAATTAAAATATCCAGCAGCACAAAAACGAAGGATGAAGATACTCAACTCAGAAGCAATGTTCGAAAGAAAAGTCATAGTATGAATTACCTCAAAATCAATCATAGGAGGACCGCTTTCAGACAGAAGAGAGGCATTTAAGAGGCTGTGAAGACTGCATGTTGCCAGAAAAGCGGTATCTTGATCCTTTTTGTATCTGACCAGAAAAGAGGAGAATATATACTTAAATCCTTGTTAACATTTTGAATACATCTGTCCAGCAAGAGAATTCTCTTAGCCATGCAAGGAGGAAATTCTTGAATTATTATTCACAAACTTTACAAAACCATCATGCAATGGTTGAAATGAAGATTGAAACAATAAAATCATTCTTACAAATCCAATATTGTAGGAATAAGCCTTGGTAAAGCAGCCTTTAGTTGGTTGCGTGTTATGAGACCAACCATCTGACCCAGGGCTTCCACAGATGCCGCACAAACCTAGATACAAAAGGCAAAAAGATTACTAAGTGTAATACAATGAGGCAAATGCATGACGTAAATGATATATTAAAAAATACGTGGTTAATAAATAAACAAAACATTGTGATAGAAACTACAGAACCATAGCTCAGAATCATGACAGGGAGCCTTGATAAAACAGTTCATGTGTGTGTTTTTGAATTACTGGAATTAGTCATAGTCTCATAGGTTATTTGTAGGTGTTTTTGGTACAAAACTCTATATTTGGCAATAAAAAAAATTGTTGACAAAAAGAGAGTTCACATAAACCAATTCAACCACATTAATATTTTCTCTACAAAAAGATAAAAAAGCTAAAACAATTTTTCCATTATTTAACTGTTCAGCCAACAAAATATTAGCAGAATAATAAGACAACTAGATTATGTGTCAGCAATTAGGGGGTGGGGCTTGTAGCTGCTCTATTATTGCACTTGACCTGGTGAACAACCAGCAGATGTTTTTACTAAAGCTCTCATTGGTGAGAGTTTATTACATTTGCAAAAAGCTAGTCATGGTTAAAATACATGCCCAAAATACAGGAGACTGTTGAAAAGTGAGACAAACTGGTTAAAATATCGGTCATCAATTCATCAATTAGTGGGCTGGGACATATTAGCTTCTCTACTACTGCACTTGACCTATTCTAATTGATGTCAATAGACACAAACAGCAACCTAAAACAGCAAGTTTGTGATTGCATTTAGATTCTTCTTGATTTTCTCATGCTAGCTAAATAAATCATCATAGTTGATCACAACAAACCAAAAGCAATACAACAATCAACATGGCAGCTATGAAAGAAGATAAAAGATAACATTTTTGACTCAGTTCAACTCGGGTTCTTTGCAAATTCTAAGTGCAAAGAAAATCACAAACACTTTGAAGAAAAGGACAAATTAGGTGAAAGTCTATAGGTGTTAATTTGCTGCCAAGTTCTCCAATAGAGCAAAATATATAGAGGAACTTCTTTAAAAGAACCGATCATGCTATAAAAACATCCACCTATAACAATGTATTGGAAAATCTTGCAGCAACACATCTTCAAAGGATACCTTAGTTGTGTAATGCTGCGATGAAATATAAGCATAACGTTGATTATGGTACATGAATATCTCGTAAGAAACTATCTTCTTAACATTCTATATATTGGATAGTTAACCAAATAAAAAGAATGCAAATGGCCAATCAACTTCAAAAATCACATCACCTGACAGTAAAACTAAGAAAGAGAGACTAAGATTAAGAAATAATAATACCAAAAAAAAAAAATATGACGATTAGTCCCAAACCTTTAGATCCCGTGAAGTTGACCAAACTCTAAGAAAAAGATCGAAAGCAGAATTTAAAAATGACCTGCACTACATTCATATACCCCTCAGAAAGGCAATAAGAAAAAGTAACGTGAGGATTTTGAACAACAAAGACTATGTGTCATCTCTCACATGACATCTCCATCAAGGGGTGAATGCGAAGGAAAATCCACATTATATTGCCAAGCAGCTTGACACCAACACTTAAATGCTGCAAAGAATACTAGTACAAACAATCAGCATGCTAATATTAGATAAACCAACAGCATTATCAGTAAGGAGGACAAGAAGAATTCGATCTAAAACTAGTTGAAAAAAGTCATAATCTACAACCCTATGCCTACAAGACCATTTATGGGAACATAAAGGTTTGCAAGGAGAAAAGGGCAGCAGGCACTTTGGTCATGGTATGGCAAGAATGATATAAATAAAATAAATTAAAATAATCTTAATACAGGATTTATGAGCTTGTTCCATCCCATTGCCAGAATGTGCTAAACAGCAGTTCAATAAAGGAGGTCCTATAGTTCAAACCAAACCATTTCATAAGGCTGGATAATTTTAATCTATTATGGACCAAAAAGTTTTCAAGACACTTCATGCTTGCCTCAAAGACATGTATAACCGATATGGCCTAAATTTAACAAAATAATTTTACATGCAATTCAAACTACCCAAGCAATTCAGACAGAGCCCATTCATCAGCTACGTCAACCAGATCAGTACTGCCAGACAAACATACCACAACGAACCATGAAAAGCCTAGCTACAGTTGAAATAACATCACACGTCCACCCAAAAAAAAAAAAACTAAAATCATACCATTAGCAAAAATCGGCCGATGCACATCTCTCACATTTCCAAGAACTGGCAGAATTCGTGAAAGTACACCTTTCCACCGAGGAATAAACTGTAGCGCTGTACCAGATTTAAAGGGAAGGAACCCCATCAGAACTTCCTTTTAACAAAAACTGAAAAGTTTAAGATAGGAATTACATAAGGAAGGAAAGGATATCCTCCTAAGGCAAGATGAACCAAAACCAACATCTTTGCATATCCAACAAAGAATTTTTTTAATGAAAAAAAAACAAAAAACAATGTATAGATAAGAAAAAAATAATAGACAGAGATACAAGAGCAGGGGACGAGAGATCCTTCTCAAACAAAAGTGGAAATAAGAGAATACAAGGTAAGCTCCATTGCAGATGAGCATCTAATCCCTTTTAAGATTCATAAAGGAGGAAAAGAAATAATTCATCAAACCCACCAAGAGGACATAATGTGATAATGATGATCCTCTCCCCAAAGATTTCTCAGATGAATTTTTTGACTAATGATCCTTGAATTTCATTCCAGCCAAAGACACCAAAAACGTGCCAAAACTGAAGAGAACTTTTTGCTCCTTTTGTCTCCCCAAGGGCCAAGACCTTTAAACTTGATAGCCAGAAAAACCCCCAAGATGAATCAGTCAAACCCACTTCTCACCAAACATAACGAACAGCCTATTCCAAATATGCCACGCCAGTTCATAATGAAAGAAGAAGCTTTTAGAATATCATTTTTCAGGTCAAAAAGAAAAAAGAAAACCATTTTAGATAACAAATTACACGTAACCACCCAACCCTTCATAATCCTCTGGCCTACAACAAACCTCCCAACTAAATAAGTGGCCACTTCACTCTCTTACTCTCACCAGCCCCAGACCACAAGAAGACCTCTTCTCAGTCCTATTGGCCACCGCCAGCAGAATCTTAAATAAACTGCTAATAACATCAGAACCCATTTTAAATCAAATGCTATACTGAAGGTTAAATATTTTCCACTCTAAAACAGCATAGTGAAGTTGAAAGTTTAAGCCAAATCCTAAACAGGGAACTAAGTCAAACAGAAGGCTGAATCTCCTAACGTCCTACATTTTCTCTTGGCAGATGCACGTCAAGCATTTATGAAGTTCCCTAATTCCTTAGGTTTTTTTTTTTTTTTTTTCCGTTTTCATCACTGTATCAAACGATTAAGAAAGTTTTTTTAAGTGTATCTGACCCCACAAAAAAAAATTCCAATCTAGATAAACACTCATCAGAACTTACAACAACACTAATTCCACCAACCAAAAAAATTAACATACTAAAGAAAAAATAAGATGATTGTGCAGATTAAATCACAAAGAAATTTTTGATTACTTACGATCAGTAAAGCAAATTTTGCAAGTATTTGAACCATAGCCAGTAATGAATTTGGCCCAGATAAATGAAGAAAAATTTCTTCCATCATCTGCAACACCAATTCATACGAGAGACTGAGACATATTAAGTTAGCTTAAAATCCAGAAAAACGAAGTGAGGATAAACGAATGGTTCAAAAATAGAAGCCACAACTACTCTCAATGAAGGTGAAACCAAAAGGCCAAAAGGGATATTATTTGAGCTTTGTAAATTGCACGTAATATAAAATTTAATTCTCAGAAGAAAGCTATTAACTGAATTCATAATAAACCCAACTATTTCTCTAAGGGATTTCTTGAGCTAATATTCAGAGATATTAGGATGCTGAATTCATAACCTCCAGCCATGCCATGAACTTGTTCTTTTCTTTCTCTTTACAAAAAATCATAAAACTTACTAGGTCAGGTAAATGCAAACCAATTGCAACTCTTTACAAAAAATCATAAAACTTACTAGGTCAGTAAATGCAAACCAATTGCAACAAGTAGACTTGTTGCTGCTCGTTGCCAGTCCGAATTGATTTCCTGCAGAAGAACAGTCACCATGAAGCTTAAGAACTCGTGTACCAGTTCACCTTAAGCAACATATGGTATTCAATGAAGCCATTAACTGGACAACGGTCCAGAGAGAACACAATGCCAATAAAATAATCCCCAAGTAAGAATCTCATCAAAGTTACAGAGATTTATACTGAAATTCAAATCCACATTAGTGCCTGTTGGTAATCGTATACAACTCATACACATACCAACTTAACACCCAAATTGTATGGTGTGGAAAGTACACGTCAACAGCAAGAAGCAAACCAATTAGTGCCTGTTAAGAAGAACCCTGACCACAAGGAAGCTTAAAAAAAAAAAAAAACCATCCCCAAAAAGATGAGGCAGAATGAGCCTCTATTTTAAGATTCTAGAGTTACACTTCAACGAACACAATATCAAAGCACTTCGCTCTCCCACCCAAACCACAGGACAAAATAACAATGACAATAACAACAACAGAAATACTAATCAAGTAAAATAAAGCTTGGCATCCTAAAGTTTGGATCGATTTTACTCTGGTAACCTATAGATTAAAAATTGACAATCAAGTGGTCTGAGGTTTAAATCGTTGGCACTTTTGTCACGTTTGATATCATTGTCTTAACTCTTCAAAAATAAGATATGCCTAGCACGCAGCTTGCATATTCCTTCAACTTAACCAAATTTCATCCTAAAATCCCATGCTTTAACCAAATCGATCTTAATAAAACCTAATTTCCTAGATCTTCGAACAAAATCAAATATTTCATAGAAATGTTTAGATAAAATTAAGGGCAAAATTCAAGAGTTTATTTAGGTGCAATATTTGAGGAAGGTAGCGTTACATGTGTCAAATTTTGGATTTTTGACTAGCTAAGTGAAGAATTTCAATCATCAGTGCATGCAAAATTACAGACTTGATACAGAATTAAAAATTTAGGACTAAGTAGAAATACAATTATTGAATACGCTATATGATGCCTTGTGAATTGAATCTGGGAATAAAAATTGGACAGAGGAGAGACTTCTGTCTTCAAAAAATAAGAAATTAAGAATTACAAGAATATTAAGGATTCGGAGCAAAGAATTTAGAACAAAACACTAATATATCTTTCAAAAGTGTTTTTCGCAAGTCATAAGACTGGATTAAACAAGTGACGTTTTCTGGGAAGGTCTCCAGCAAACCACCATCAACACAATAACTGACCAGCGATCGTCTAATTCTCTCCACAATATGGACTGATTAAATAAAGAGCACAGCGTTTTACCATATAATGCAGAGTAAAAAACGTCCCAAGGTCCACGTCAAAAATCCATTACTTCAGTCAAGTACGCATCGTCCCGCATGAAAACAGAATTACCTTAGAGGATATCATTTCAGCGGTAGCAATCTTGGCAAGCTTTGTCATGAAAGAATCATCGACCTCTCTTTTGTCCAGCGAGCGAACCCCAAATGCCATCACTTGAAAAACACCGGCCATGTTTCCGAACCGCTAAAAAATATTCCAACAACAAAATATTCGACACTCCATTACCGAGGAACTAATCATCTAGTGAAAGGAGAACATAAGTACCCGACGTCCTCCTCGTGAAACGACTGCGCAGCACCGAGAACTAAAAGAGGATTCCTGCAACCACATTGGACCAAATTTTCAGTTAAGTTTCACGAGGAATAAATGAGAAACCAGTGTGAGTAGAGAGATAATCACAGAGCAGCAATGTCTTTGAGAGAGGCCCTGGAGGCCTCCCTAACAGCGAGAGAATCATCGGCTAGTAACGACACCAGCACCTGGACGGCCTCTGCAACAAAGCAAAGATATGACATCAAAGACCACGAAGAGTGGCCAAACATCATAGTTGCAGATGAAGAATGTACCAGGTGCGGTAATTGAAGTTCCAGAAGCCATGGAAGAACTGCACAAATTCAAAGCACAACGGAAGCAGAACGCGGACAACATAAGAAACCCGGCGCCGACGAAGGAACGCCACCTTCCTTTTTCCCCTTCACAGAGACAAATGCGAGGTAATTTGTCTGGAATTTTGCACTCAGGTTTTGTACAGGAGATTTTCGCGGTGCATCTACCTTCCTTTCCCCCCACGATCCCACCGTCTTTCAGGGGCAGAGGATTCTATAGAACTTCGGGGAGAGGATTCTAGTGTTCCCTTACTTAGGTATTTTTACTGCAGTAATAATCGATGGATTAATGATTGATTGCGTGATACACAAACTGTATCGATGCATTAATTGATTTAAAAAAAAATAAAGATTTATTGATTGATTGACTGCTTTAGTTGCCTGCAGACTCAGACTATCCAGACCTCATACAACACATTCACTAATTGATACACGAAAAAAGGGAAATTGATTAAGTCCTGTTCGTGAAGTGGCACTACTTTATTACAGTGACGGTTAAATTGATTGATTAACCAGGTGGCGAAAGAAAAATTCATTGATAAACCAGCTGTATTGATGAATTAATCAATTTTTTTAACTTCAATTGATTCCTTTCTTTATCTGTAATGCAGTAATTATGCATACATATTGACGATAGATTATACGTATTGATTGATTAATTGATTTTTTTTTCGAACTTCAAGATTAATCAATCGATATTATTCATGATTTTTTTTTTTTTGCCTTAATTGAGTAGTTGCTTGCACGTTCATGCTTTTTTAAAAAGCCAACAGATCAAAATTCATTAATTAATTCTCCATTTGATTAATATTATGTATAAAATATTTTTAATTGAATTATATTCTGAATAAATTAATTCATTATCTTTAATTACATATTTTTTCACATTATTTTTATTTGATAAGGTGCCTTATTAAAAATCTTATTAATTATATTCTTAACTAAAAGTATTTTTAAAAAAATTATTAATTATGTATTAAAAGACTCAAATATTTTATATTTTTTAATATCTTACTTTATAAAAAAATGTTTTATTTTTTTTCATAGAAGAAATAGACATAAAGCAAGAAACGTGACATATAGTACTGGTTTAAAATTAAAATGAATTTTTTTTACCAAAAATACATTGAAGTGAAATTTGCAAACAAAATAAAGATTTTATTTCATTATAAAATTTGTCTTTTATTTAATATATCATCTTATAATTAAGAGTATATTTAATATTTCACCATAATTAAGAGTATTTTAAAAAATTATTAATTACAAATTAAAAAATTTAAAATATCTTATATTTTTAATATCTCACATCTCACGTTATAAAAAATGTTTTATATTTTTTAATAAAAAATACACATGAAGCAAGAAATTTTCACATATAGTATTGGTTTAAACATTAAAGGGAAATTTGTTACCAAAAAAACATTAAAGTTAAATTTGCAAACAAGATAAGGAATTTTATTTCATTAGTGGTGGAGAGAAGATTATTTATAAATTGACTCGTAACGAAGTTGATTAACTTTTGGTTACCATTAAGATATTGATTGATTGCAGCATAGTTATTAAATCCTTGAGTTGACTTTTCGAGTTTAATATTTTTAATTTTTTAATTTATAAAAGTATATCAATTTACTTAAAAATTTATACTAAATATAACATGATTAAACTAGCAAATTTGCCTTCAATTTAAATTTTTACATTTCTAATTTACAAGATCATATCAACTAATTCATAATTTTAAATTAGATAAAAACTTAGCTAAACTTACTAAGCTTGTCAAATTTTTTATTGAGTTGAGTAATTAAGTATATGTTACATAAAACTTGATTCATATAAGTGATAAAACCTTATTGAAAAAGAGAGAAAAAAACTTAAAAAACAAAAACTAATAATAAAAAATAATAAATGCAAAAATAAATTATCTATCCTAAAATTTTATGTCTTGTATGATAATCTATCAATGCAGATGGATTTAACTTCAATGATTTATATTTAAAATATATTTAAATTAAATTTATTCATATTTTATATTTAAATTATTTAATCATATATTTTAATAGATATTTATTAATAAAAAAATTATTGAGAATTATGATCCAATTTATATTTATTATGAATTTATTTAAACTCATGAGTATAAGAACTTGGATTGCAATATTCAAACACCATACAACTTTTTCGTTTTATATTAAACAAATTAATGGAAATATTTATATAACTTTATTTTTTATAATTTATAATTTGGTCATAAAAGACTTTTATTTTTGAATTTAAATACTAATTTATGAAATCTTTTGTTATTTGATTTTACATTTTTATCTACCATTTTAAACTTTTACGCATCTAGCTTAGATTAACTTCGAAGACCACTACCACCGTCAAGAATTGCAAGAAAAAGGGAACGATCATTGACACGGGAATTTACATTAAAATTGGTACTTGCAATTACAATTGCATCTTTAATAATAAATAATTTCATATAAGAATCCAAGAGAAACACTCCTCTCAATAACGCAGGAAAGATATATGATTATTAATAATAATAGCGTGACTGAAATGAATGAATAATTAAAAATGAATGGAAAAAAACCAGTTATTATAAACGTAACAATATATTCAAATAAATAAATTAAATTAATTTTGAGTCATTCAAAATATATATTTTTGCATGAACAATGAAGCATTGAGCGAGTCATTATCATAAAAAGAAGAACGGCAAGCACAATCTTTTGATCTGGACAAAATATCAAAAGAAACATTACTCGCTGAGCAAACGGGTTGAGCTCTTAGGTTAGCTCATTTAATCTGCAAAATATAACAAATTGGGTTAAACAAATTAACTCATTTTTTAAAACGGGTTGGGCTAATCTAACTCACAAAACTAGCAGGCTAAACAACTAGCATAACTTTTTAAATAATTTTTTATTTTTTAATCATATTATATCTGTTTTATAAATCTACAATAATGATAATATTTTTTAAATATATAATTTATGACTCTCAAATATGTTCTTTACATTTAAAATATAGTGTAACTCTTTTTTACAATTGCAAATAAGATTTTTGTTATAGTTTGTAAATCAATAACTTATTAGTTTTTATAGAAATATTTTGAATATATATTATTTATTAATCTTATAAGATCTATTGATTGAAATCATAAATATAAATTCATTAAAAAAAATACTATGGGTTTATATTTAATTTTTTTTCTCAATGAAAAAGATAATACACCTAAGCGAAAAGATAATTGATAATAAAAATCTAGTAAAATAATTTTGCTTGGTTAATTATATGCTTATTTTATTTATGTACAAGTTCTTTAATTGTTAATTTACTTTAAAATATGAAAAATATATATTATATAATTTTAGATTGTTAAAAAATTTAATAAATTTTTGGCGGGCTAGCCAACCCTAAAAAATAATTTGGGTTGAATTTTCTAGCCCGTTTTATCTGACAGGCTAGCCCAACTCGTAACCCATTTGCATGATTCTACTCCTAATCCCTTATAGTTTTAAGGGCTTTGAATCTGGTCCCTGAACTTAAACATTTTTTTCAAAGTGCTCATTATGAAATAAATGCATTTTATGTTCCTACTTTCTAGTGTGGTCGAAAAGCAAGAAATACATGTAGCTTCTATTAGCATAAACACCAGTGTTTTCAGAACCGGACCGGACATTGAACCGAAAAAGTCAGCGGTTCACGGTTCGTATGGTTCAACCGGTTGGACCATTGGTCCAACCGGTGACGTAATAATTAAATTAAAAAAAATTATATATGTATATAATAATTTAAATATAAGAAATACATATGAAATTGCTATTTAACTTAAAAAACTTAAATATTTTAAGTTTATCACGACTTAACAAGCTATATGATACACTATAATATCAAATGATTAAAAATTAGTCATTTTTTTAAAAAAAATTTGATAAAAAATAAAAAAAAGTTTTTTTTTGAACAGTCCGGTTTTTGAAAACCGGATTCGGTTCCCGGTCCCGACCGCCGGTTCGAAACGGCTCAACCCGGCTCAACTCTGAAAATGGTTTTTTTCCTTCAAACCAGATCAGAAACCAGACCAGTCAACGGTCCGACCGGTTCGACCGCCGGTCTGGTCCGGTTTTCAAAACAGTGATAAACACACATATTTGCATTTTATATATTATCTTAAATTCAATTCGCCTCACTGCTTTTTTTCAATAAATTCTTACTAAAAAAATCAATGTTCATAATTCTATGACAAAAAGGCACCCTTTTTATTACAAATATTATAGGCGGAACTGGTAACATCCTAATTTTTAAATTTTGGGTTCTAAAAGAGCACTATTAAGGCATCATTCTTAAGAGAATTGGAGATATTTTGAAGATACTAAACCTCAAGAGTAAGCCTTCTAACTTATTCTTCTTGTTTCCCAACCCATTTCTTAGAGATTTAAATTAATGTTTGAAGTGTAGAGTTGATTTTCGATCTATATGAATATGAGTTTAAACCAATTGGTTCAAATGAAGCTATTGAGAGTTTTTTTGAGTATTTAAACCTAAAAATCATGGGTTTGGATATTAATGGTAGACGGGGATCATTAATGTCTGAAAATGAACATTAAATCCAAAATTATAAAGATTGTTGAGCCATTAATGATAATATGAGAGTTTAATGAAGCTATTATGAGCTAAAGAGAGTTAATAAACCCAATAGGCATGCCTAAATGTGAGAGGTAAAGGTATTGGGTATTTTAAAAGTAGAAAAAGGTCACTGACGAGTTGCAACACATATAGTGACAAATGGTAAAGCGCGGCATGCTCTTCTGGCTCTTCTTGTCTAACTAGACCAGTTTTCACACTATCATTGCCTTCATTGTTCCCCATGAGCATCATTAGTTGCTTCTCGGAACAATTATGGCTAGGTGATAATTTTTCATCACAAAAGTATTAGAGTCCTTTCTCACACTGGATTTGCATTTCTATTGGAGAGATCTTCCTAATTGGTGGTCAATTTAGTGTTAGTAGCAGGGGTGGTAGTTGAGCTACTGAATTGTTACTTCCCATTAGGCCTCCTCCTGATGAACCCTTATTGTCATCTACCTCCACCCACTATAGGTGACGAAGAGAAAGTGACCTGAAGTCAAGATGAGGCCATCAATAACCCTTTTCTCGTAGTAAACAGCCTACCCAACGCAATAGCCTTCAATAAAGGGTAAGGCACCTGGCAACCATATCGCGCCTTACCTCTGTTTTGAGCCCTCCAATAAAACAGTCTATCAGTGCCCCTTCCGTTATTTCTTTCGACCAGTTAGCCAACATCATGAATGCTCACACGTAATCATCATATAACCCTTATTGTGCTAACTTGAATAATTGTGCATGAGCACACTTATGTTGAGTTGGCCTCAAATGCTGCTCCACAACTTGAGCTAGTGTAGCCCAAGTCAAAATCTAGTTCGCCTGTTGCATAATCTAAAACCACGAGACTATCAAGCCATCCATGTGAATTCCAGCCATAATTAAACATTGCGAATATGTCAACTCATAGCACTTGAAGTATTGTCCTACACAGAACAGCCAATACGGGGATTCAGTGCCATCAAAATAAGGGAAGTCAACCTTCACCTACTTGGTGGTGAACTAAGTTCTCGTCAAGTGGTCGGCAACTTCATCTCCAAGGATGAATGCCAGAAGCTTTGCTTTTGTGAGTCAACTTTAAGTCGTCTATCAACTTGGCAACCTTTTCCATGAATCCTTCAATCTTCAAGAACCGTTTTGATGTTTCTACCATAAATTCGTGCACCCTTTGCATATCGCCCTATACTCTTTAAGCTTAGCCTTCTTAGCCATGATGTTCTCTCTCAATGAAATCACTAAATATGTCATGCTCAAAATCAATTCAATAGTAAGCAAACATAATGGAATGAAATGAGTTTGTTTATTATCTTGGCATGGATCATTTCAACTTAGCGATAACAAAAAGCATAATGGAAATTCAAAAATGCAAATAATACTGCTCAAAAAGAGAGAAGTGTCAGAAGAAAATTCCAATAACCATCAACATGACCCATCTTTACCTCTCTCTCAATCATTTATCATCTACACCAAACATGGACCTAAGCTTTCATGTGGGTCTTTTAATTCTACAACTATCTTGGCCCAAAACCACATCCTCCCTAACTCTACTCACATTAGTTGCACTCGCTAGGACAGAACCTTGGTTGGGCCTTGCTTCTTGGTTTGTGGTGGAAACTTAATTTGAATTAATTAATCCCCTTAAAACTTATTTGTCATTCTTCCTTCCTTTTTTCTTTTACCCATGGCACATGGACTCAAAAGGAGGAGGAATTTCTTTAGTAGACAATGGCAAGAGTTAATTGACTTTTGTTTTTAATATTTTTTTCCAAAAAATAAATTTCATTCTATATTTTTCTCATATTATACCAAGTCAATTTTATGTGAATGTCATTCCACTCTACCCATTCCATTACTACATAACCGTCAATTCAACCGCAAGGATTGAAAATGCAACCATGGCTAGTGTCTATACCCCTTGCGAACATGGGCTTCTGTGTAAGGTGTGTGAGACTTGAATCCAGAACAGCTCTTCCACCACTACGAGAAATGAAGCAATCAAAAAAGGATTTTACAAGAAACGATTAAATAAAACCAAGTAATCCTGAAAACGCTGCGCAGTGAAACGAGTGAGTCAGAAGAATGGAACTCTTGAAACATACACTATCACATTAGTAGTAAAAAAAGAATGGCCCAATTGAGAAGCAAGGGCCCAAAACGTCGTATGTACATGAGTGGCAGTCACTTCCAATATGGAGAACCAACCGGAGCAATAAGGCCCAGGTATCGCATTATCTTTAACCGGCGAGCCTTTCTTTCTGACTTTGGAGGAGATGCCACCTCCTACAAAATAATTTCATTATTACTCTAAGCACTTGACATATAAAGTCCTGATAAAAAGCCGAAGCCATGCCAAAAACTGGGTAGAAACTTACATCAAAATGAAGTTTGCGCTTGCGTTCTCTTTTACCCCTTCCTCTCTCCTTTAAATCATCTATTGTTTTGCTCGAGGCTGATGAAGTCCATTTTTCTGATAAAATCATAAATAAATATTATAATAACAACATTGAGAAACAAAAGGAGCACACTAGAGCTTCATTATCGGCAGTCATAGCTTTTAAATCAACATATTATTAGACATTTGACCATGATGAGCGTGTGAAATGAAACAGTATCTGCTGTGTATGAGCACGCACTTCTTTCAGAGATTGCTAAGTGCTAAATAGTCCAATATTTTCATGACAAAAGCACAAAACCTACAATATTCTTTTGTTTAGCTAAATTGTCGCAGCAGGCATGAAAAATATAATATGGACAATAAACAAGGCCTGCAATATTTTAAACAAGAGCAGCCAAAATATTTTTTGTTAGCTAAAACTACCTCCGAACCGAATTAAAGCTTGTGGAGCTATGTGGTTTCACATTTATTGTACATAGATGAAACACGTCTGAATACACTGTTTGAATAAAACTAAAAGAATACAATCACATCAATAAAACATGTCTGCTTCCAAAAACTAGAATGATGCAAATTACTTCAGGCTAATACAATAATTTCATTAACTCGATAGTATGAAAGTGATTCTGCTTTTTTTACTGCGTTTATGCAACTGTATCACTCCTTCCATAAAACATAATATGGAGTAAAAAGCAATTTTATACCACATGAGTGATCTTGCAGATCCGAGTGAACAGTACCTTGGGGACTCAACTTTCTGCACGAACTAAGTTGTTCCTTCCTCTGCAAAGCCTACAATAAAATAAGAAGACAAGTGAAACACAATATTCTATAGGTTAAATTACAAAATATACTCAAGTCAGGCATATCGGACTGCTTTAGATTAACATACTTGTTCTAGAGCATCTTGGAAATCTTTTGCAGGGTTACTGCTCCTTTCTTCATAAGACTGTTTGGGGAAAAAAAAAAACCAGCACAGACATCAGATATTGACAAACTTTGGTTAAGAGAACAAAGGAGGTGGAATAATGTCCCATGCTGCAAATAAGGTCCTATTTCTCCAATGACCCCTCGTCTCTACGGGTCAGAAATTGGGGGAACAAAAGACAAAGGAGGGCAGAAGGGTCTGAACAGTTAAAATCACTAGCTTCTCTACAGGACAAGTTCAATTTCAATGGTCCATACAAAAGGCCTCATAAAATTCATGCTGCCTGGCAACAATTATGGGTGGCAGTGGGATGACTTTTCTTTTAGGGTTGAGATGAGGTTCTTATCAGTCCTCTTTCTCCAGGATTCAGTTCCAGCAAGGTGTTTTCAAAATGCAATATCCAAAGGACTCGAGAACAATAATAAGCTTCCTTATGAGACAGAAGAACAGTAAGAAACGAACCAAACTCACATCCTCAAATGCTGAAAGATCTTTCGCTGGGTCAATCCTAGCACTGTAAAGCACAAAGTAATATTCAGCTCAATCTTTAAACATGTTAGACACATCCACGAAACTCGTTATACTGAAAGTAGGCTACGATACCAGGGTTGATTCCCATAAAACTGCACCAAGACATGTCTATCAGAGACCTGGCCTGCTAAGGTGGGTCTTTCTTCCATGATCTGAAATAATATTTTTAAAAGAAACATAAACAGGTTATAAAGTCAGTGTAAAAAACAAGAGGTGTTGAAACATCAGCACTTCACCTCGCCTATGCCATAAACTAATTCATGATATCGAATAACGTTAAGAGAAAGTTAGATTAAATGCAACCTAAAGAAGCCAAAAAATATATATCCATGACATATTAGTATGGAGAGACCTTAAATTGGCAATCATTAGCCATGATTAATTCAATGAAATATAATTCTTCTACTCTGGCAAACTGAGGAAAGATTTTACATGAATATTCAAAGCTGTAGCGCACAATCTGGTAGAAGAAAAAACTGTATCAGATGAAATATGATATGACATTAAAAGCTCAAACTTCAAAAGTTGAAAATTGCCAAATTTAAAGAAGACTTAAGAACTTTCAGTTCAAAAGAAGAACTTAAGATCTACAGCGGACAAAAACAGGTCTTACATATGAAATATAACTTCTGCATTGAACAAAAGGAGGCATGCCTCATAAATCCACAATAGGATGAAGACAGAAACAAAATGGGACTTGAACGTTGAACCCAAAAACAAAATGAATTCGCCTATTCCAAAAGCCACTCAATTATGTTTTTTTCTCCCTCTTTTGCTTGTTTATCCAAACGAATATATAAGCAGTGGTGGACCTGGGTTGAGGTGAGGGTAGGCAAATGCCCCACTCAACTTAGTAAAATTTACAAGTGTGCATTGTAACTTATGAAAATTTACACCCACTAAACTCAAAATAAAACCTTTTTGAGTTCTTAAAAAAAAAAAAAGTAAGCCTTTGATATTTTACTCAAGTCCAATATATTTTAAGGTCTTAACATGTTAAATTTATATTTATATTATTTTTTTGGTAACGTAATTTTATATTATCTTTTATAGTATTCTAATTTAAATATTATTATTTTATATTTTATGCCCCCACTGACTGAGGGTTTTCTGTCCACCACTTTATATAAGGCCATGCAACATGTAACTTTCTCATGTATTTTTTTTTTAATCCCACTAAATTTTTGGGAAGCAAAAAAGTGCATGTATTTAAGCTTGCTAAACGTTGAAGTTGTGCTCTACATATAATCCGTTTGCACGAGATATCAAATGTAGGCTACAAATACCAATCCAATGAGACAAATTTTTTGCCACAGATTATATAATTGCAAGACTCAATGAGCACTTCGTTGACATATTGTCCGCAGGTTTCAAAATCCTAATTTTTCCTTTGCTGCAAAATACATGATTTCTTATTTCAATGTATGACAAGCATGTAGTAATTAGCGGTAGAAAAGAAGTAGCACAGCAGGATATAAGAGTAAATACCTCCGCAGGCCACCACACTTGACAAGATGTTTTTGCCCATACAACACTCCCTGGGGTTATAGTAATGCAATTGCTGTAAGTAACAGGTGACTCCTGTGATGTGGATTCTGATATCTTGAGGGTGCTATTTTTTCCTTGTTGACCATCCCTACATTAAGTTCTTATTAACATAATGAGAGAGAGAGAGAGATGCAATATTTTGCATATATTCGCACAGCCATGAGGAAAGGCCATCCAAAACATACCTATTGCTGCCAACGTCAAGAGCTTCATCTCGGACAACTGATTCAACTTCAGTCACTGGAACATCAAGATTTTCATCCCTATAGAAACCACTGCATTTAACAAGTGTACCTTCAGGGAATTGTTCTTCTTTCATTCTATCCTCGTGTACACTGCTTGCAGAGACACTGTCCAATCTGACTTCTCCAGAAGATGAACCATGTGAAGAAACTGCAAAATATGTTTCCCAAAATAAAGGTTAACCATGTTTTTTGAAAAAAATCAATGATATGAAGAAAAATGGGCACTAGTGCTGTAGGCAATGATCCATGTTAAGTCCTTGCGTATAAATTACAATAAAGTCGTCAATTTAAAACCCAAAAGAAAAGATTGATGCATGTGAATTTAAATATAAGAATGTAACTTTTTAAAGCTTTTAACATTTACTTAATCAAAGACAAAAAGTTATCGAAGGTCGTTATAATTTATCTATGAACTGAAATCCCTATTGATGCTTCTCACCCTGCATATAAATACTTCACAACTACAACACTAAAATGTGCTTGCTATTGATTACCGTGGCGTCTGCCGAACCATTTAGATATTGGCACCACTACAGTTGCAACCAAAAAAAAAAAAAATCAACTTATAAGAGCAACAGTCTTAAACTGCATTGCTTCTCCTTGCTTAACCAAGCAAGCATGGGAAAAAAAATATTGAATAAATATATCAATGTTTTAAACGAGTAATTCAAAAAGAAGCAAAATTGGATCTAAGCTGAAGATAGAGGCTCAAAGCTCAAGTTTCGGCTGTGTATGCAGTGATACATAGAAGCAAAGGAAGGATAAATCACGTACAAAAATAAGATAAACCGTGATGATCCTCAATAATCAGCAGGAACTGACAAAAGTTTCAGATGTTTATCCCAATTAAAAGAAAATTCAGTTATCAACTGAATTGTTTGATAATGAACCCAATCCCCATGGTGATCAACATGATCGAATTTCAAATCAGAACATATTTAACAGTGATTAGGCAATTCGACGGATCAAGCCTTACAGCCGTTAATCAAAGATTTTTCATACGTTCAACCAAGAAAACTCGTAGAATGTGGTATGAACATCGAGAACAGACATAAAATCGAAGAAAGGAAACAACCTGGGTTGGAGAGAGAAGCAGAATTGCGCATAAACACAGAGAAATCAGTGCGGCGTTTTGGTGGTGTGCTTCTGCGCTGTTGAGAATGGTTTGGGATACAGTCAGTTGGGATTATCTTTTGGCTCTTCTTCTCGGGTGTTCCTCTCTTCTTCGCCATTGCTCCTAATGGAAGTATAAATAGAGACGGAAGCGCTAAAAAAATCTTAAAGGAAACAGAGGAACCCTAGACCAAAAGGAAGAGATACACAGTGTGTTTGATCAATGAAATAGAATGTGGCGATTGGCAACATCAAATATCGGACAACAGCTTAAATTTAAAATTCGCCGCCTTCGATGGTTATCCTAATCTCATCAGCTTTGTACATTCCGAGAGCAAAACGGAATTGTCCCGCTGAAATCTTCCACTACCGACCTAACCACATCCACAACATGGTACGAACTACAAAGACATTTGCTGATGTTTGACAACTTGGAATCTTGAAACTATTGTTTTCCTTTTATTCATCTGATAAAAACTTTAGGTTAGGAAAAAATCTGATAAAAGCATTAAAACAGTTTTTTCTTTCCTTTTTAATTTTTAATGTTCTGAAGAGTTACTTAATTGATGATATCAAATACATTTTCGCGTTAACGAAGCGCAAGTTCTGAAAAGGAGATCCCTCCGGCTAATATACTACTAGGTGGTGGTGCGGGCGTTGTTAGTTGACACTTAAAACAAGAGGATATGTTCATCGCCAGAGAAATTATTCTGACTATCTTTTTCTTTTTTTGAAGGGATGGCCAATAATTTCGTTGTTATTTAAAGATTCTTTATTGAGTAGGTCTGTGAATTTACGCATTATGTGATGCTATATGAGCCAAAGAAAAACTTTGTTGTTCGCATTTTTTTCCCCATTTTGACAATTTTACACAAACACAACTCGTTTGTTTCCAGTAAAAATCAAGAATTCGTGTATAGCATAAATAAAACTTAAGTTGGATTTGAACCAGAAAATAAAAAACTTGAATCGGAAAGAATCAATGAAGGCTTTCTCCCATTAATTAGTTTTTCATGCTGCTGTGAATTATCAAATAACATCTACTATCAGTTAATCAAATAAATTTTTATTTATCATTATTTTTAATAACTTTATTTTTATAATAGGATGCTTGTTTAATTGATTTTCTTTCCCTCTATTATTATAAATTTTAAAATTAATTTATATTTAATATTATTTGAATATCATGTTTTTGTTGAATCAACTATGGGTAACATGATGCATCAAATCCACCAAGTCCATCTAAAAATTTATCTACTTTCACCTTCTTTTGATTTATGGAATAGTAATGTTTAATGCCAAGATTGAGTGCCAATTTTTCGAAGATAGTTGTGAACACAAAAGTCAGTAGCAAGAGACTATTTTTTTAAAAATTTGTATAAATCCTATACAACATATTTAAATATCATAAGTTCATTTAACAAATTCAACAAAAGAAAATAACAACACATTGACAATTCAGTTGTCACTTTTCTTTGTTCATCATTAATGAATCTTTTAATATTTAATTATATTATGTAAGAACTCAAAGTAATCCCTCTCTCTTTTTTGGGAGCCAAAATAGCCAATGAGAGCATGAATGGAGTATAATGGGTAACCAGGTGAGGTGAGTGGTGCCTAGGCCTAGAAGCTCCAATTTATTAGCAGTTTTCGGCCAAAGCATAACAGGCTGGTTAGCTTGTCGTATTATGTGACAAATATTGTAATAAACTAGTAATAAGCATTTAATAACCCCAAGCAATGTATATTTTATTTATGTTATTATGACTCTTAAAATGGGTCCTGATACGTTGAAGATTTACAAGGTACGGAATAAATATACGAGCCAACAGGTGATGATTGATACGGTTGGGCATTCTTCGTGTACCGTCTCAATTTCTTTTTATTAATTTTTTAGTATTCCTCCCTATCTTATGATATATAGTGAATACTTTTCCATTTAATATTTTTTTATTAATATCTCATTCGTCTCTATTTATTTATTTATTAATGAAAAGTAAAATTAAAACGTACAAGGTATGAATTTTTTTTTCTCTCCTCAATTTTTCCTTGCATAGCATGCTATTTTAAATTTTAACGATCTCTCCATATCTTCCATCTCGTAAGGATATAGTATTAACGAAAATGAATAATAATTACACCATAATTAAAATTTAAAACAGACGTGCATTTAGAAATGAAATAAAAATATAAATCAGTATGAGCAAAGAGGTATCGGAAAAAGCACCCCTAATTATTGATTATTGAGGCTATCATTATTCGCAGGGTGCACAGAAGTCAATTCTCAAGACTCAAGATTTAAGGGCTTTAATTACCACGAGTCCACGAGAATGCCCATAGGGCAAAGAGAAAGCGCCCATATGTTTTAGACTAAACAGGACAGAAAGTGATGTCATAGCTTTCAGCCCCTTTACATTGATACTTGGGAGGGTTATGATCCCCGGGATAGGTGTGGGCCATATTGCACAATTCCTTGTTCCTCTTAGAGAACTCGTCAGGCTGGCAGCCACTATCGCCGCAGCAATATTTGGCTTCCTTCAACGCATCGCACGCACTGTAACAACCCACATATCGACCATCCTTATTCGCCGCCACTAAAAATGAAGGGCACACGTCCTTAAGATCTCTAGCACAGTCCACCACGGGGCACGGCCCGGATCCGTCCACCAGCATCCCTCCGTTGGGTTGGACCCGGACCCGCATGTTCTGCCCGTGGACTAGGCTCACTTCGTAGGAAACAACCGGGTTGTTGATGTCCAGGTTGATGAGAGTTACTGGGTAAGCGGGTTGCGGACTCACACAGACAAGTTTACCAGAGCCGCAATCTCCGCTTTGGCATGAGAAGTAGAAGGACGCATTGTTGGAGCATTGGGTTCGAGCCCAAATGGAGCCGCTCCAGCGATCGTCCATACTGTAAGTTGTGTGGACGTCTGGTGGAAGTTCTGGCTCCGCATCCAGCATGTCGGTGCTAGCGGCGCGCCATATGGTATAGGGACACTGGTTCGTAAAATGAAATGTCACGTCACAATGACCTCCTGCATATTATTTTCAAGACAACCAATGTTATGAGATAGGTCTTCTTAAAATAATTAATAAGAAAGGAGCGTGAAGTTGAAACAAGACTCCATTAATCTTTAATGGTTTCTTGTACTTCACAACACAGGTTGAAGAATAATGGACTCAGAACTCGAAATTGTGCTTGGAATGAAAGGAGGAACAAGGAAGCAACTGTTGTTTTTCGATTAAAGCGAAAATCAAGGAAGAAGAGCAAGACCTGGAATGAGTAGCAGTAACGGCAGCAGCAGAAACTTGAAAATAGCTCTGGAGGCCATTTGATCGATATCTCCCTTGAATGGCATTCAATGTGGATGGTTGTCAGTGACCAAGCGGGTGTTTATACAGGCACATGGAGCACACAATACGAACACAAATATATTTTGTCCGTCCCAATTTATTTGTCGCTTTTTTTAGATTTAATGTTCCAATATATATATATATATATATATAAATACTTTGATAAAAATACAATTTCATTAATGATGTTTTTTTAAAATATTATTCTTCTCGCTATATTATCCTTCTCTTTAATACTTTTTTTATAAACAAGATATTAAATAAAGAAAATTTTTAAAAATTACGTTTTTGTTTTTTAAAAAATATTTTTAGGTATACTTAATGAATTTTATTAATATGTGTAATATTATTTAAAAGTATCTTATAAAAACATATGAAGTATAATTTAGAGAGGATTTCTTGGGTTGGAGTGATGTCTGTCGATTAATGATTTTTAATTAAAAATTAGAAGATGTCATGCATGGTTACACGAATTCTCACAATTTTGGATTTTAGATTGTTTAAGAAAAGATTTCCGTAATCTTCAGGATTCTTATTTTTAATATGCTAGCGCAAATTGCTAGCATATGAGAATGCACGATTGCGTTGCATTAATTCATCCACGTGCCTATTAAAAATAGGATAACAAATCGAAATCCTCAAGATTTTAAGAATTCCTCCCTTTTTTTTTTACCTTTCTTGGTAAAGTTCCTCCTTTTTTCTAACACAATATGGATATATTGGATAATAATCCATTTTTGACTTATGATGCACAAATATGAGTTTAGATGATCGAACGTCATGTCATGCAATACGTCGAATATGAAAATTTTAAAAATTACAAGATACAAACGTATGCATTTATGGTACTACGAGAGCGTGCTTTTGACGTAGAGATATGAATTTCATTTTTTCAATCCCACACAATCGAGATTTCATTTTTGGGAGATAGTTTTCATTGAAAAGCAGAAGGAGGAAGTCAACAGTTTCGTGACCAGGAAGGAAATTTTAGGATTAAGTAATTGCACGACGAGGGAGGACAAAGGAGAAAAAATAGGTGAAGGTGGCGAAAAAATTAAATTGAGAGATAAAAGTAAGAATTTGGGATTTGGATCATCTTTATATCATCTCTCTCAACATCCCAGTAAGTTGTGCATAGCCCAGTAATTTGGGAATAAACGCTTCGACTTGACTTGAAATTTCCTTTTGAAGTAGTATTTTTTTTTTTACAAGACCACGAAAACCATGTAAGGAAAAAAAGATCAATTCAAGTCTATATATAGCATATAAAACTTTTGCACTCTAAGGTGGTTCCACAAGATTATAGTGATGACAATATTGTTGTTTGAAACATGATGCAAACTAATCCTTACATCTGTTCACTTACTGAAAACACGGTCAAGAGTAACAAAATAGTATCTCATGATCAAGTTTTTTCGGTATTCCATTCCAATAGTGAATGGTCAAATAGCATTTTTGGATCCCTAATTTTAAAGTGCATGGCACTCTTAATATTTAAACTCTAGTTAATTTCAACATTGGGGATGGGTGACTGTACTTCTAATGGTCACACCTTGAAATTACTACATCAAATATTGATTATAACGTTCATTTGACTACCTCATTGCAATCAGTTAGAAATGATTAAGTTGTTAAGTTTATATGAAAATAAAATAAATTTTCACTTTCACCCTTATTTAAATAATTTTTTTAAATTTACTTTATATTTTATAATTAATAAATTTAAATAAAAATAGTATTAAAAAATTAATTAATATTTTATCAAATACCTTATATTAAAAAATAAAAAAGTCTTCTAAAATGCATCATATAGCTTGAACGTGGAGGAGTATTTGGCATTTGGTTTTGATTTATTACGCGGAGACATGATTCCATCTCCCGCTTTGCTAACGTCTATAATGCGCTTCCTCGTGATTCGTGGGACTAACTTTCCGTTGACGACAAAGTCAACTGGTCAAAACATTTGATCCTATCCGCTGCTATGAAAAGATTTGACCTTGACTCCATTGTTTAGACTTGAAACTCAAAAAAGTGTACTTCCCCATGTCCCATTAAGACATGTTCCAAATGGTTAATTTAATCTTCTTTATAAGTTATAAGTTATAGTATAACTTTTTAAATAATATTTTTTAAAATTATTTAAAAAAATAATATAATATCACTCTTTAAATTTATCATATAAAAACATATTAAAAATTTTACATGTTTTTATTTTTTTTACATTGGGAGGCATATATTCACCTTCAATTATAAGTGATTCCACCATTGTATGCAACTATATAATACTACTTGTGATGATTGCTGTTGAATAGATTTAAATCGATGAATCATTTCAATTGTAGTGATTGTATTTTATAAATATTTTGAAAATTATTAACATGCACTTTCTTTTGAGAATTCAAAATAATTGTTGCAACCAAATCATTGATTACATTGTATTTTCTAAAAATTTAAAATTTGGTGCTTTCAGAGTATTATATAACAAAATACTTAACAATTGTTTAACTAAATTAAATAGCTGTTATAACATTGCACAAGGCACCAATTAAATTAATGGATGTGCATTACTCGCTATGTTCAAATCCTTCTTTAGTTCTCAGGCCATGTTTGGCATCATTAAATTAGTAAGATAAAAATAAAATTAGAGATAAAATCTTAATTTAAGTATGTTTGGTATGTAGGAGTTGTAATTCTTAGAAATCCTAATTCTACAGAAAATGCTAGAATCCAATCCCATTATATTGACCATGAAATTGTTTCAATTCCTTTGAATTCATTTTGTGAATCCCACTACCCTCATCTTTTTTTGTCAATTTATGATAAGGTAGGTCTTTTTAATTTTGAAAAAAAAGGACAATTTGGGATTTTCTTATTTTAAGTACATATACTAATTAAAATTATATTAGAATTTCATATTCTTATCAAACACACTTTTAAAACTCAATTCTATTTTAATTTTGATTCTAATTTTATTAAAAACTATTCCATCATATCAAACATGACCTTACTTTCTCATGTCTTCAATATAAGACCTAGTTGATTGAGTTGTTTTGATTTTAAATATACATCATTAATCTTCTTTATCTTTCCTATTTAATAATCCCCCTCACCTTGATATCCTTATTATTATTAACGTCACAATTTTCTTCCCTCTCCCACTTGATATTCTCATTAAAATAAGGTGACACATATTTATTTCTCCATCCTCAAAATTATAAGACATTTTAAACCAATTTACCTCTACAATAATAAATGAACATTAAAAATACACACTATTTTATATTTATCTTTATTTAATATAGCATACTATTTTAATAAAAACTTACTAATTACTCATACATTCTTAATTAAAGACCATTTTTGACCCTCTAAATTACAACCAAAAGTGCCTCATAATTTTAAATATGATATTTTAGAAAAAATGTTAACTCCCTCCTATCTTATTCATTAGCCATTTCCAATACGTGTTTCACTGAAATTAATAAAAATTTTAAAATTTATTAATTTTTTAAAAATTTAATAAGTTTTTAGCTTTATCCATACTAGATGCATGGTACACTCTTTGATAATGTAGAGTGGAAAGGAAAACTTATGATAAAAAGACGATCACATGCCTTGTAAAATGTCCTTAATTAGTAAAGTCATTAAGTTGAGTTATACCTTAATTAACTCGCGAGGCAAATAAAATAGAAAAGGTGCTCACCTAGCCACGACTAACTTCATCCAATTTAAAGTTTATTTTTTGTAGGGTATGTTATGTTGACTTTTGATCACAAATTTTTTCTTTTAATCCATTTAATATTGGTAAGAGAAAGTATATTGTTAGTATATTTCTAATACGACTAGAGTTAAAAACTTATTATATTTTTAGATATAATTAATGAGTTTTAATTTAAGATTTTTATAGATTTTGATGAAATAAGTTAAAAGTGATTTTCTAATAAGATCAGGGTACTACCTTTTCTACTTATAATAACTTCATCAAGGGCAGTTTTGAAAAGAAACCGTAAAATGCGGCCCATTTAAAGCAATTAATTGGCCAACAAAATATTTTTTTTTAATATTGATAAACTAGTAATCTGTTACTTATATTTGGAGTAATCCGCAACTATTACTCCCTCATGCACCCATGCCTGTTTTAATTTATCCAACGGCGACGCGATAATGGATTAGCTGGGCGATGTTTCAGTAAATTGGAGCAATAGCCACTAGTGATGAAAGTAGAAAATAATAGCCACACATTCGACTGTTCGAGGACCGAACGAAGCTGCCTGAGACCTCGAATCCCTGAGGTATATATATCATGACTATCTGATATGTTGGTCACTGATCTAGTGCATTGGGTGGCACACCTTCAACATTAATTTTCGCACAACCGCTAGGCTAAACGCTGAGATTGATAAAAATAGAATACACATGCATATAGAGTGTGTATCAAGAGAGAGATAATAAAAATGATAAAATTAATGGAGATCTGAGAAACATACAAAGACAAAATTTGAATCACACACAATCATATTCTTTTAACTTTATCTTCCTAAAATTGACAGCTCAAAATTAAAAATACTTCTTTTGTTACTACTATCATCAGACCATGTCCTGTGGCGGAAAAAAATATTGCATTCTTACACGTGCATGTATATCAGTATGTTATGATACTGTACAATATTTATTACACATAATTATCAGGCGCATAGCGGGCGAATTGATAAAGTTCCGAGCTTCCTTCGGTCACAGGATTAATCTAAGGACAGAAAATCATGGCATAGTTAGGCTTGCTGAAGCCAAATGAAGGTGCCAGTCTTGTCATCATAAGCATAACTATAGGCATCAGGACACTGAGACTTGAAAACCTGAGAGTATTTGGCAGGTGGGCATTTCCCTGGGGTGTTAGAATCTCCGGTGCAAAAATATTGAGGCTGATTAAATGCCAAGCACGCACTCTTGCACGCAAAAACACTCCCATCAGACCCTATTA